TTTGTTTCTTTTTTATCATTTAATTATTTTGTTTCTTTCAATTGTGATATATTTTATTTATTATTTCGTTTATTATTTAGTTTATTTTATTTAACATACAGTTGTTTTTATTTTAGGTTCTATAAGTTTGACAACGCCGAGATGGATTAATAATAGTGAAATAGGTCGCTACTTTTGTAAATTCGAAAACACACATTACGTACCAAATGAAACGCTGGCAACAGATTTCTCGCTGGATATTCCCATATTAACCGCCCAGAGTACTTAAACAACAATATCTGTAAGTTAATAATATAAATTACATTATGCAGTAGGGCGAAGGGACAAAATATTTATGAAATTTTATATCATACATAGTAAAAGACCAAATATTGTACTCTAAACTGACATAATTATAATGTAAATAATGTCACTAGCTCTATATGAAATTACAGTAATAATACATCGTAATATTTGTTTCATTTTACAGGGCGCCTAGAGATTGTGTAACAGTGAACTGCTTTTTTTCGCCTGACACTTTTTGGTCGATCTTTTTAATTAATTTCTTCTTAATAATTATAAAATTCGCGAAATTGTGGAAAACGTTCCGATCCGATTTAAATCACTGTATTTGTACCCAAGAGATAATGCGATTATTACATATAATACACGATATGTATAAAATGTAACGTTTAAACCAGTGGTTCTTAACCTTTTTGAAGTTACGGAACATTTTTGATTAGAAGAAAAATTTGCGGAACACCAAAATTTCTATGATTATAAACAAAATTAATAACATAAATATGCATGAATATATTTTTTATTAAAAATTATACAGTACAAATTATGTAACAGTAAAAAATTGAAATTGAAATTGAAATTTAAAAAAGAATATTCATAAAATGAAAAATTTTTATTTCAGCCGTAGATATCGATAATACATGTTTTTATTATCTATATAAAGATAAGATGGCGCCAAAATTTCATCTAGATCAATGATCATCTATATAATTTTATTTGACAACAGCAAACACTGGTTGCGGTATTTCAAGTAGTAAATGTCACTGTTAACAATTCTTTCAGTACTAGATATGTGTGTGTTGATAAGAGCTTTAAAAATGTAGGATATGAGGAATTTAATCATTGTTTTAGTCAAAATTTTGTAATCACCATTATTCTTTTGCCTCTCTTACGAGTTGAAAATTTTGTTTACTACGTAACATGAAACAGCTCTTTTTATAAAACAAAATTTTTAAAATTTCTTCAAAGTTCTTGAGAAACTAGCTTGTAACAGAGTTAGTGAAACGGGCTTCCACAAGGTCCTGTGATGTTACAGTATTTCACGTCACTGTAACCGTCGATGTATACATTATTAAAAATGCTTCTAGTGAAGGATATTCAAATTAATAAAAACTTTAAAAATGTTAAAAAGAATAAGGAATTGAATCACGGTTTTATTTAAAATTTTGTAATTATGCTCTTCTTTCATCCCTCTTACAACGAGTTAAAATTTTGTTTGCTACATAATATGAAGGAGCTCTTTTTATAAGAGATACAGTTATTATTAAAAATTTTTTTAAATGTATAGGATATAAGGAATTTAATCACTGTTTTATTTAAATTTTTGTAATCGGCCTTCTTTTGCCCCTTACAATGAATTTAAAAATAGTTGAAAGAGCTCTTTTTATTCGACAAAATTAAAAAAAAATGTTTCAAAATACTAGTATGTAAAGCGAAATTAATGAAAGCACCGGATGTCTTTTTTAGTAGATTTGGTCCAGCTTATTTGAACATTTCAACATAATACACGCGTTTGAAGCGGCACGCGTTTGCGTGCACTGTAAAGGGATCTGTAACAAATTTTCCTCCGAATCGGTCACAGAGAGCCGGGACTGTTTGTTCGCACGGCTGTTTCTTTAACGCGCGTACATTTCCCGAAGCAGATCCGCGTCGAATTTCAAAGCGCTTCCTCTTTCCCTCTCGGCGAGTAATCGCGCGCGCGCGTTTAATATCATCGGGCGGGAAGCGTTTTCCAGATGCGCTCTCATCCCTCTCGTAAAGCATTGAAACACGACTGACGCGTCGTTTGTTCGCGCGACGTGTCTCTTTCTCGCGATAAACGTTCCGTTTCCGTAATACACGGTAGAGCGAGCGTGTAATTACTTATTTAATCCTTTGAATGGAACTGCTACGCTTACGTCGACGGAATATATCTGGCTTAAGGGAATTCCCTGTCCTGTGTGTACGCATCTCTCTCTCTCTCTTTGCGAGAATCAGTATTCCCGTCTCTCGGGGAATTCACTGCATCTCTGTCGATACTCTTGAAGCTGATCTGCAAATATTAGATTAATGGAAAATAATTGGATGGAAATTTATTTCTTAAATATATATACATATGTTTGAATGTGTATGAATTTCTGAAAATCTTTCAGAGCTTTCAGAGGGAAAATTTTATAATTTATAATTTTTTATAATTTATATATGTATTTTAATTATGTCATTAATTTCCGAGAGGATAGGATTGAGAACAATTTTAGTATCGAAAGCTGTTTGGGAACAAATGTTTAATTTCGACGAACAAAAAGTATACGATCGATCAAAGTAATCAAAGTTAGTAACTAAGTTGAGCAAGTAATTAAAATTAACTGATTTATTAAATCAGAAATAAGAACGAAGGAAGGAGAGAAAAATGCTCCTTAAATTATGTTCTAATAAATCAAGCAAAAGGAAGAAAGAAAGAAAGAAAAAAGAGGCAGCATCGAGATTAAGAGCCTACGACTCGTCGGCGATGACAGCTCAGGGCGTTACATAACATGCCATCGTTTTCACGTGATACTGTTCGAATTTCCTGAGAGGTAAAGTTTCCCGGCATCGCCTAGCGAATGTTCTAATGCCGCACAGAGTATGCAGATAGTCAAGTCACTTCACCGTATCGCGACACACACACACACACACACACATACAGAGATACGTCGGGTCCTCGCTCAACTTCGGCCTCTGTTGCAACATCTGTTGACCTCTCTGCGCGACCCTTTAGACTCATCGGAAACTTCGATATCTCGAGAGTCCCTTCGTTTGCCGATCTCGGTAACAAGTGCCCACTTCACCACCACCGTGAAGATGAACCCATGTTATGCCACGTATCGGAAGCCTCGATGCAAGAAGAATGGAGGAAATTGCCGGTGCTTTACGGAAGATTATATCGAGTAGGGCTTAATAGATATTGTATGTTTTCCGTTTTTTAATACATAGTAAAAGGAGGATATAGGATTCCTCTTAAAAGAAGATAAAAAAGAAATACATAAAGTACGTAAAGGTATAAAATTTGAACTTGTTTGGAATTTTATAGCTTATTGTATATGTATAGATGCAATTAAGCAAGATTGCACTTTTGTTTGAGTACTCTTTTATGCGCTTTAATGCACGTCAGTTTATATATCTCTTATTTACGAAATTCATTTCTCATGAGATTTGAAGATTTTTTAAAAATAAGATATAAGGACGAAAAAAGGGTAAAGGATGAAATATAAATATTGAATTTTCTCTCTCTATGTTGACTGTGCTCGATTTTCAATCAAGTAACACGGATACTTTTTCTCGTAGAGATCTTTCACGATGGGTTCACTGAGTGTAAATAAGTTTACAATTTCCAGAAAAAAAAAATCAACTTCTTTTGACGAGAAGAAAAATACATGCGAGTGAGAGAAAATTCAATTGACGTTTAATCAATAAAATAATAAGTTTGTAAAGATTAAAAATATTCGATACTGTGATTTCGCGCAACATCACCAACATTCTCGCGATTTTTCAAAACAATATATTTTTAGAGGCCAACGAATAGTCGTAATTAGGAGGAAAGCAATAAAACGTATACGGGAGTTGCCCAACATTAGACGAAAATATCCATGTCGCGGGTGTAAGAATAGTTTGGGACGACATAAATATTTTCGGAGTTACTGACCCGTCAAAACTCACTAGACTTCGTCGCGTAGGCCGAAGGATCGGCATCTCTCTCTCTCTCGTGTAACTTATTGTTAGCGAAAAATATACTCCGGGCTTAGGTTTTATTGTGACATATGTGCGCGTAATTTCAGTATTCCTTAATACGATAACCCCACAGTTTACATGCGAGAGAATCGTATCTTTTATTTTCTCGTAAATAATATAAAATTTTTACAATAAAATATTAATAATTGTAATAAATTTGATAAAAGGCTGTTGAGAGCAGTAAATATAAAAATTCAAATTATGTTAGAAAGTAAGTCATATATAAAATAATATTCTTTAATATAATGTCTACTAATAAATTACAATAAAAGGTGACAAAAAAGAATTAAACATATGTACTCTTTAAATACAAATATAAAGCGTTTTTATTATTAGATTAATTTATTAGAATTTAATAAGAGCCTTGACTTACTACGGATTAATAATTGTGTATACAAAAATTATGCACGCTGCCATTTTATGGTGAAAGGTAAGACATACTGTATTAATTTAAAAAACAATATATAAGATAATGTTACATAAAACTTTCATGTGTTATTATTACAATTCTTTATTAATAAATTTTGTTTATTAATTTTATAAATTTGTGAATTGACGTTTTAATCATAATTTATAATTGTTTTATATTGGCCACGTGTGACAAATTTTTTTTCTACAATGTATTAGGATATCAATATACATCTTCTTAATATTATTCTATTAAGCCACAAACATGATAGAGATATATAAAATTATATATTAATAATTTAAATAAAATTAAATGTGAGAGTTTAGTTATAATTGGTTTATTCTGGAAAATACTTGAAATTTTCGAGAGAGACCAATAATAAGAACGATACACATATATTTCACGTTTCACGCTTGTTCGAGTATGTATGTACATTCTTCTCTCTCGTATTGATACTTTTTCTGAATAGACATCTCGGATCAAACTGAGTTTACGATCTGATGGAATATTCCATGTTATTGTCAGGAACACGTATGAACGGGGATAAGTCGTCTCGTCGTGTGATGAATCGGCTCATTCTTCCAACTACCTGTCGTGAATACGGACGTCCGTCATCACATTCGAGTTAATCACAGCAGCAGGACTGCAGGATTTTTATAAATATCAAACTCATTTGTGAACTTATATAAGTGATAATTTATAATAATTTGTAAAATAATGTAAGTATATATATCCTCACTCGTTTGTAAATTTTTTATACATTTCTTATAATTTTTGTTATAATATATATGTTGGAGAAATATAATCTTTAAATTATATAATCTTATTTTTCTAAAGTTAATAATAAAGTAATTGGTATAATTTATATATGGACAAGTGAGTATATATTCTTCAATCTATAGTAGATGTAACAATGGAAGAAACAGTAGCATTGCTAAAATCGTGCATAATTTCGAAGAAAGGAGGTGTACCAATCGAAGATGTAAACGGTGAGTTTTGCATTATTCATATTCGGGAAGCTTAATTAGCATTTTTATGTACATTATTATAATTTTTATTATTTATATGTATAAGCATTGATATTAAGTGAAAATGATTAAACTTAGAATTTCATTGATTTTTTCTTTTAGATATTTATATTAAAAGATATTAATACATTTAAATTAGAAGCATTTAATTGAAGACTAGGAATTTACAAGTTAATATATTTTACGTTGAAATATTACGCGTTTATTAGTTTAATAAAATTTAAAATTTTTTCGAAACTTATTTAAGTTGGTAAACTTATTTCTTTAAGATTAAAATTAAGAGTTTATACTTATTAATTACTTATATTATTTAAACAAGAATGTACTTTTATAATATTTAAATTTTTAAAAAATATTTAATCTAAAGAGACTTTTATAACTACTTGCGTTATAAATTCAAATACTAGAAAGAGAAAATGCTGTTTTCGCAGATGAATTTCAAAATCTCGTCGGAGAACCCATTCCTTATCGTAGATTGGGATTCACGAGTCTCCGTGCATTTTTGCGAACTGTAGATGGTTTGGAAAAACTGTGAACGAATTTGGCGAACAGACATTAAAGATAAACGATTCTAAAATCTCTCATATCGACAGACTCATATGCAAGCAAAAAGTTGACTATTCAAAAACAAAAGTATGTTTAATAATTTTCATAGAAATTTTACAATGATAATTACTATATATACAGATTTAAAGAATCAAGGAATTGTAAAATGTTGTAAATTTTGTTTTAGAACAAATACTATAAACAATTTGCACGTCCAAAGAACAATTTTGAATATAACAATGAACGTAGGCAAAGAGAAAGAATACAGCAAAATACCAATCGTACTAATAGACGAATTCAGGATCTCCGTAGTCGTCGTGATTCATATTTCAAAATCAGTAAGATATCCCTTTTATTTGGCATATTCTTTTTAAAATTATTATTCCTCAGAAAATAATATTTTACATTTTATTATACATGTATAATTATATTTATTATACAATATTTATATATAATATTTTTTATATATATTTTTATATATAATATTTCTTATATAACGTAATATTTTTATATATATGTTATATAATATATATGTATTACATAATTTTAATTTATTTTAATTTAATTTATTCAATTTTTTATTCTCTCAGAAGCGAATCTAGAATTATATATTTTATTGTATAATTCTAGATTCATCTAGAATTCTAGATTTTCTTCGTATTTATGTTGCTTTATATTTTTGTTAATTGTATTTTCTACAATTTCAAGTCTTATTTTGATATTTCAATTGTGTAATTTGTGTAACGCGCAAGTCACCTAAAATAATTTAATCAAAGAAGAAGAATCTTCTCTTATAAGAAGAAAGATTTTCAAGACAAGTTGTAATACTTGTTTATATTTCAGATGACTTTCGTGAAAGTAACAGCTTCTCGTACGAAGAAGAAAATCATCATCCGGTAGTAATAGAAGTGAATGAAACGAAACAAACTGTGAGTTTATAATAAAATTTACATTTGAGATGCGTGTCAAGTAAAATTCTCGGCAGTCTTTTCTCGAGAAAAAGTATTACGAAATATTATTTAATATTCCAGTCTAGCATACACGAACCTAATGCAAACGGCCAACAATTACTCGGCGATGATTTTTTTTTACAACTCGCAATACGAAATCTTCATCTTCCCATTTGGAGATACAAAGGTTCAAAGTTTTTTTTTTAATTTCCATCAAGAGAGTTCTACTTTTGCAAAAATTCAAGTCATTCTTATAATTATATTTTTCTCATTTTATTAAAGTCACACGCGCACATGAAACAATTTATTTTTATTAATTTTATTTGTTTGATTAAAATTGTTATTGCTCTATCAAAATTGTATACAAGCGAATCAATCATGTGACGCAATATGGAACAATTAAATTCTTTCGCGGACAGACATATTTCAAAGTATAAACTGCGAGTTACAATTTTTATATTGATTTGATTATTATATATTCTGCAGATAATTTAGCATTACACTGTGGTTTGTGTATCTCTGGCCAAACCATAAGCAATTGTACTCGAGCTTTGAAGAATATCACTACCATCTCTAATCGTGTTGTGATTGCGCTTGGTTCAGTTGATGTTTACAATGTAAGTTAATTAGCCTTTATTATAGCAAAAGGATAATACTGCGTAAAGAATTTTTTTGTAGAGACGAGGGAACTTTGTATATTTATTTGTATGCAAAATATAGAGGTACCATAAAATTAAATGTTTATTAAATAATATTAATGATTTTTATTAAATTATTTACAGGGCGCTACTTGCGACGAAATGATAAACGATATGACGGAACTCTTGAAGGTTCTTCGGTCCAAATTTCATCTCTCGAACTCGGCCATCACCGTCTGCACAATTCCACCTTTGGCCAATCTCAGCATTTATGCCTATAAGAAACAAAGCTTGTCGTTATTTAGTTTCAATAATTGGATCAGATCTCTGGCAGATGATGTATCTACAAGAAACGCTTCTTTCGAAAGTTATCCGATAATAGATTTATTCGAAAGCTTCTGCAATGAAATGTACGTTACGGACTACGATTGGTTTCAAATGTAAGTAAAATAATTCAGTTATACTGATGCTCCACAACTTCTGTCGTATACAAATTTTTAAAAATTGACCATTTAATAAAGAATCTTTCTCTTATGCATATTAATAATTTTTTAATTATAAACAATTAAAAATTAATTTTTTTAATTTGTCGAAATTTAAAAGTAACAAATTTTTAAATCTTATTTAATTTTAAATATATATTTTTACAATTATTAGTTAATATATTTTATACAAACATTATTATATTTCGAAAATACCATTTAAATAAATTGTTAATGTGGTTGTTGAAAGGCAAAATATCTAAATGTATTAATTAAAATTTTATATCTGCATTATATACATATAATAATTAATTCTCTATCGCGATATCTCACATATATACGATATTGTTTAATGTTAATTATTTTTCCTTAGTCAAGCACGCAGAGTGTCTGGAACTAAACATTCTTATGTGCTATGGAATAATACAGGACGAAAGCGAGCCATGAGCCTCATCTGCGGAAACAAAGACATGGAGCGCTCCGGAAGTCCCAACTCATTGCGGATGCAATGAGAGTTGATAGGGATCTTCTGTTGTATATGGATCGCATATGAAAAAAAGCAGGACGATATAGCGGGAAAGCCCTTATTCGTCTCTTGAAGACGAAGAAAGCTGTTTCGAGGACCCTCTCCGTGGTATCTTCCTGCTTTTTTTGCAGATGCGTACTTATAATTGAATTGAATTTATGTTCATATATTATCGTATATTGTACATACAAATGCAAAAATTTATAGAATGTTGCCACATTCATATACGCATAGGATAAAGTAAATTTTAATGTGCTTGGTCAAAGGGCTGCTGCGCAAGATATTTATTGAAGAAAGTAGGCTTTGTTTTACTTCGAAGATTAATGTGAAGCGAAAAGAATTTCGAAGGTTATATACAGATTTTTCTGAGAAATACTTTTGAAAGACTTTTACCTTTCAATGCATGCTTATCTTACCGGGCATTTATTAATTTCGTTTGTTCGTGTGTCAAGAAAACAAATACGAATACAAATTATTGCTCTTATTGTTTAATCGAAGGATTAAATTATTTTAAATTGTAAGCGCCGGCTTCACGAGACTCGGAAGGTTTAAATAGGAGACAAAAGTATAACAACAAGTTCGTACTTAAATCTATCGAAAAAAGTATAGTGCATTTTTTAATTAAATGCGGGTAATTTAAAATGGCACGCATACTTTATTGGTAAATTTTAAATTGCTCCTAATAATAAAACGTACGGGCAAACTTTCCTTGTTGTGTGTTTAAAAAGTTAATGTTTCTTTACAAATAATTTTTGATCGATTATTAATATATTTGATAATAATAATTATAAAAGCTCTTCCTACAAGCTTAATTTTGGAGTCAATTTTATCAATGTAAAAGATTAAAAAATTTATATTAATTTATAACATAACATAGAGTTACACACATTTATATAGTTAGATAAAATTATACAGTATTTTTCTAAATATATATATACTTCAAAAATTATCCTAAATTTAATAAACTTTACCCGCTTTCAACGTAATGAACGTGAATAAATTGATATTTCATGAAACACGATCAAACGAAATTTTTGATTAAAATTTTGTGATAGAAATTTGTACAGAAAGATTAAGTAATTATGAGAACGAATAGGAATTATAAAAATATATGTGTCTCTTTTGTATGTGTACGCAAATTATTTAATTATTGTAATAATTAAAGTAACTAGTTTTTGCGTGAACAATTAAATTAAATCGTTTAATGTTAGAATTGTTATCACAGTTGAATTTAAATTGCGATGATTATGAAGAATAAGCGAAATAATTGATTTTTAAAGTCAATTTTTTTATTAAAGTTTAAGAATGGTCTCTGTAATTTAGAAAATAAAATTTCTAATTCAGAATGTGAGCTTTAAAAAGTGCAAAAAAATGTTGCATTTTCAAAGTCTTGAATAATTCTGGAAATGTATGTAAATGCAAGAAGTTATCTTTTTAGCGGAGAAAATGCGGAAGGTTTAGAATTTATTGAGACGTGCAATAGAACAATTGCGATAATAAACATGAAAAATGTTATATAAGAAATAATAATAGATACGATAATGCGCGATATACATTTTTTCTTTCGAAGTAATAATAATAATACACTGCTGACTATTGAAATTGCAACACTATATATATATTTATAGTGTTGCAATTTTAATGGGCAGCAGTGTAAATAATAATAATAAATTTAATATAAATAATAAAAAGTATAAATATAGATGCGTGTCAAATTTATAAAATTGTAAAATATATTATACCATAGTATTGTGATCAATAAATCATTAATACACATACTGTTTTTTTTCTTAAAACACATATGCAAAGAAGATACTAATGTTATATAAGTTATAATATATAATTGCAAAAATATACATATATAAATATTATATTTTTATTTATTTAATAAGTTTCTTTTTCAACGTGTACTTTAGTTCAAGCTCTTACTTTTTTAGTTTCTATTAATATTATTTAATATACATATATATGTAAAATTTTATATATATAAGTACTGTTATGTATTATTGATATCTGTTTTACTTTTTTCAAAATTTTTACAAAACATTACATATTTCGTGTAATGTATGCACGTAATTTGAGTATTTAAAATTATAAGTTTCTATTAATATGTTTGAAAAAAGCAATTGTTAAATTATTAATTTATTAAATCATATATAAATATAACATAAAAAGTAAAAAAAACTTAGTTTTTTCTGAATTATAAATGGAAATTCTTTTAAATTCAATGTCATCAATTTATTGCAGAATCTAGCTCTTCTACGTATTCTTTTTCAAATTATATATAAAGATATACGTTATATATATATATATATGTATATGTTAATAACTAATTTATAACTAAAATATAGTAATAAGATTATCACATTACGCAATCAGAAATAAATCTGAGAGTGCATGGTCATATACTATTTTAATTTATTATATATAGCAATAATATATATATATGTATATGTTAATAACTAATTTATAACTAAAATATAGTAATAAGATTATCACATTACACAATCAGAAATAAATCTGAGAGTGCATGGTCATATACTATTTTAATTTATTATATATAGCAATAAATATGCAGAATATTTATTGTGTTTGCATTAAGTAAAATAAAAAATAAATTTTATTGCATATGTAAAAGCTAGAGAGAACTCAATGTGCATATATATATATATATATATATATATATATATATATATATATATATCTATAATCAAAAATATTTTAATAAATATATATCTATATAATATATATTAGAAAAAAATTATGCGTAAAGAATGAAATCTATAATAAAATCCATACGCGGGATGCGCGCGTTATAATTATATAGATTTATAATTATAAATAGACAAATGTGTATCAAACGTGATTTTACCAGCAGTCAAAAGGTCAAAATGTATCCAAATAATTCCAATCTAAATATATCTGACGGCGCTGCTTTACAGGGGAAACATTTTAATGATCTTCAAAAACGCCGGTATAGATGTTGTGTTCCAGGTAGTTCTCAAATACACTTTAGGCAGAATCATCATAAGAGAACATTGTAATAAAGTGAAGAATATTTCTTAATAAGTGTATTACAGTTTTTTAAATAAGATTTATTATAATAGAGAGAAAAGAACAAAGCATATAGTTTCATATAGTATAGATTGTGTTGCGGGTCATTAGATTATATTTGGATATTATATGTATGTAATTTTGATTTAAGAAACTTAACAAGTGTATTACAGTTTTCAAAAAAAATTTATTATAATTTATTATAAGAGAGAAGAAGCATATAGTTTCAAGATTGTGGTGCGGGTCATTAAATTATTATATTTGGATTATGATGTAATTTTTATTTTTTTATACAATTTATTGTCTTTATAATTTACTTGTGAGAAACATGGACATAGATATAATACACATGCATAACATTGAACTTTTAAAGTTAAAAATCACATAAAACATTTTAAATTAAAGATTATAAATGATTTAAAGAAAGAGATATGAATCGTTGTATTATATCCATCTTAATATCATAATGTTTATCAAAATTTTACTTTTGTTTTTAATAGAATTGCACATAAATAAATATGAGTAGAATCTCCAATAGCACTTGCTCGAAGAGGAGTCTGATGCGAAGCATTTCTGCTCAACAAACCAGTTGTAGTAGCGAAGAGAATGTATTCTGTACCGAGGATGGTTTAGAGCAGTCCTTGCATATAATAAATGAGGTAATGAAGCATGATTGACAATTTTATTGGAATGTGTATATATTAATTGATAGGAATTTGAATCTTTATAGGAATTTGAATCATTTGGTATCTCATCGATACCTACAAACAATGTTTTGCAAGTTATAGAGCCGATTTTGGAACCATTTAAGAAGCTATTGATAAAACTAATAAATGCTTCTTGGAATTTGACACGTAAATATAGATCTCTAATGCAATCATATGATAAGTTGGATGATTTAAATCACAAGACTGTCAACGATAACATGAATCTTAAGGTAAGTTTGTTAATTTTATATTTTTAAAACATAGATAGTAAAAAAAGATGCGTTGTATTATTTCATGCTGCGTAGAAAAATGATTGGTAAGCACATAGAAATAACATACTCTGCTAAAAAGGTTCTAATTCTTAATTATAAAAATATTGACACAGAATCATGTAAAACGACTAAAGGAAGAAGTGCAAAAGAAGGAACAAATCATGTGCGAAACATATGAAAGAGAAAGAAGACTTCAGGTTCAATGCGACAATTTAACTCATGATTTAAAACAGGCTAAAGAGGAGGTATAGTTTGACTTATATAATATATAAACTAACAATTTGCATAATTTAACCATGAAATTAAACGTTGAATTTTATAGATACGTAAATTAAAGAAACAAGCTCAGTCCAAAGATGCTCAACATGAACACGCAATAAAAAGGATTATACACAATGGTCAAAAAGTTGAGGAGCAGTTACGAAAATATATGGGTTAGTAAATATACCATCTTTTCTATAATTTCACTTTATGTGTATTGTATACAGAAGTATATTTGATGCCAACATGAAGATGTTTATAAATATGTATGTGTTACGTGATTTGGAAAAATATATAAGCAATCATTGTGTCTTTTTTTGTTTTTGTAGGTACTTATACATCAAAAGACAAAGTCCTACAAACGATGCAGACAAATCACGAGAAGGAACTAACTTCGTACAAGCAAACTATTTGTCGCTTGGAAGAGAATAACAGACAAATGCTGGAAGAGATCAACAATTTAAAACAAACTCTCGAATTATATAAGTCTAGCATCGATTTAAATGCTGAAGCGTCTGGGTGGAACAATACAGATGATATTTAAATATTGCTAAAGCTAACATTTGACCTTTAATTTATTAACTCATTTAAAAGTTATTGCAATTAAATTTCTGCTAGTTTCACATATTATCTTATGATTACATGTAAAATCTTATGAAATTTGTTCTAATTGATTATATATTACGTTAAAAATATATCGAAAAAATAGTATTATCTTGTTATTTTTATCTCCACTTAGATTTTTATTACAATTGATCAAATATTAATTTTGTTTTTATAATTGTGTTTCATTATTTATATAGTTTAAAATAATTAAAAATGTCCAGAATTATAAAAAAGTTTATAAGGAATAAAATGTTTCACTACATTGATTATATGTTCGTTTTAATTTTATTTTATCTTGTTAAAATCAACTTTTAGTTTTGTTAAGTAAGTTTTATCCATATTAAATAATAGGTAAAGAATGCAGATTACTGCAAAACGTATGCACATTATACTCGAGATCTCGAATCGCGACAAAAACTGCGATAACTGCTTTACTGGACAAAGACTGACGAGTATTTTGTTAGAGTCAAAGTTTAGAATCAACAATAGTACATTAATAAAATATTATTTATTATAAAATTAATTTGATATAATACATTTTATTGGTACATCTGATAAAAACGTTAAGTTCAACATTATCGAAATCTCTAAATCGATGTCAAAGTTTGTTCATAATGATGTTACATACATTAAAAACTTGTACATACTTGACAACAATAATAACGTTATGTAGCAATGATTTTGTAAGATTCAAAACTTAAATACTCAAGCTACAGCAGTGTTACATCTTTGGAATTCTATCTCTCTATTCAAATATATTGAATATCTTTAGATTGAGTTTGTCTCTTTAACAAATTGTTTTGTTAACAAAAAGTGTTTTTAACAAACAAAAATTTTTTTATTGCATGCCTTTAGTGTTTGTTAACAAACATTAAAGGGATATGCAATAAAATCTTTTATTAAATCATCGTTAAATACACAATTTTTACCGAACCGAATTCCAAATAAATAAAATACCGAAACTTTTTTTTGTATTTTAACACATACATCTTATTTTTCTACAACAAAATATTAAAACAAAAAAATATGTTTCTACACTAATAATACATATAGATTGACACGTTTAAGGAATTATTGCGTACTTTTTTCTGTATATATGTATAAATGACAAATAAATTATAATTTTAATAATATTACACAATTATACAAAGTACTATATTTAAGCGCTCGCAATTTATCCACTATAATTTATATTAACTTAAATGATTTATTAAGTTTAATTCATCAATTTATTAAGTTTAATCTTGTACTACTTCTAATTCTCCTATCTAACACGCACATCCTAATTTCTCTATCTTAATTTAATTACAATAAATTAATTAAGATTTAATTATATTTTGTTTATATAAAAATTTTGTTATTTTATATAAAAGGAAAAGCAACTAAATCAAGAATTCAGTAAAATGGATTTTTTTCTATAAGTCGCATCAAAGCTGAGTAATTACATTGCACAACAATATATGTATATATAATCCACACAAAACAAAATTCGAAGTCCAGAAAAATTCAGATATTCCCTTCGGAATTATTTTGTACGCGACATAGCGACCAAATATTTTTTTCAAATTACAAAATACAATATAATTATTGAAAGCTTCTCGATAGTAATGATATTAACAAGCAGCCGAAAATAAACGTCGGGATGATTAATTGACACGAAGTCTGCCCGTTGTTCATCAGGCACTTGCAGTTGCCTGCTTTGCAAACCGTGTTATTACGATTCGTGAAGAACTCTGGCTTCTGATTGTTGTCCCTCGGATAGGCGATCTCGTTCGGCAGACGATTGTTCGTGCTGTCGATGTACTTGGACGCGAGTCTCAGGGTGCTTTTGCCGATAGCACAGATGCCGTTTATCGTGATCGCCTCCTTAGCCACCAGATTCATGCTCACGTTCGTGAAGACGCTGTTCTTCACGACCGTCACGTCGCTCTGGATGGACACCAGACCCGGTTTCTGCAGCTCGAACTTGGAACCAATGATCTCGATGTTCAGGAAGTTGGCGATGTTCAGGGACGTTTCGACGTTCCTCAACTCGCTGTTGACGATGCTCAAAGTCTTTCCCTTCTCGGAGAAGTTCAACTTGTGGATCCGCTTAATCGTGACGTTGGTCATGAGAAGATGCGCCACGTTAATGTAGTTGAAATCCTCGTCGAAGTTCTCGATAAGTGTATTCGTCATCTCAAACTTTTCGATTGATACAATATTCATAAACGTAAGGTTGTAGATCTTCGGTATCCGACCGATGTTCGATAGTTTCAGCAGCTTCATCCGTTTCGACGAGATGAAGATGTTGAAGATTAGTTGACTGCTGATATCCTGGACTATTAGCTCCTCGAGGTCAACTGCTTCCGGTAGACTCGAGTAATGAAGATTCACTGAGACGCACCCCGTGATAGACATTCTGGTAATATGCGTGTAATCATATTCCTCCGGTAGGTAAAATTCCTGAAAAATATCAATATTTGATTATTTTGAAATAAAAGAAGAAAGAGCAGCATTTAGGCATACACGAATTTTTATTATTGTTAATTAACAAAGAAGTCGTTTCGGTCCATTTTTGGACCTTTATCAACCTATAAACTAAATGAAACTAATTTACGTGAGTGTCTAAAATTATAGGAACCTTCGAAAAATTATTGCTTTTTTATTATATATATAAAAATTTTGATTATTATCAACCATTCTTATTGTCAGCGTTAAAATCTTCTCAAACAATTGTCGAATATTATAGAGAAAAAAAAAACAATTGATTAGCCCAAATTAATTCAAGAGTACATCCGGCAGAAAATTTGACGATCTATTTTATTAAAGAAAAATATCATAATAATTAAATAGAACAAAATATAAATAAATTTAATTATAAATTATAAAGAGACATGCAATTATTTGAGAGAAGAGAATCATGTATATATAATTTTGAAGTTTTGGTCTGTACTATAGAGAAATATTGTATGATTTACTGTTTGTTATCATTTTCAACTCGATTTTGCCCGGAGGTATTAAATCGGTACCTCGTTTCCGATGCAGCTACACGTAATCCAACTCTCATTGTGAACCTTGCATTGTTCGCTGATATTATTCGCAGCTGCAGCGGACAATATTGCCACGATGAGGAGTATTGCGGTGAGCTGAATCGCTCTCATATTCACCATATATCACTTGCGCATATAAGATCTCAGCGACTACGTGTGCACTGAAATTAGAAAGGGAAATGTGTGCTTCACATGGCTTTTTGATCGACAGGGGAGTACACAGGACACATACCTTGGATTGAACCCTCATGAATAAAATAGATCCTCCCTTTGGATAGAAGCAATAAATTAATTGCTAACCAGACATATACATTTTAAATAAATTTCAAATTTCGAAATATTATATTCTATATTTTTTAAAATCTAGAATAATCTGCGTAACGTAGAACGACTTGATATACTTACACTTCTTTTTACAATTTTATTGAAAATTTTTTTAAATTAATACTTTTTTTAAGAGAAGAAATAAAATATAAAAACCGAATTCGCGGAAAAGAATAAAAACTTGAGAATTAATTTTTTCTTTGAACGTCACAAGTGTAATATATCTGTCTTTGAAACGGTAAAGATAAAATAGAAACGTTCTTTAGAACTTTTTGTGGTTCCTCGCGATGGGAAGCTAAACCTCTCGTCGACTTCTCTCTTCGTTTAAGACCTTTGTTAAAAACACTTTTATTTCTCGCGAAATTTTTTTGGAAACTTGTTAGCACTTTCTTGTCTCTCGGAGCGAAAACTTTTGCTTCGATCCTGTCGACGGATCTCTCGAGAAGCGAACAAAATATCTCTCGGATAAACCGCTGCGTTCGATGGTGAAAATCGAGATAGCACGAGAGCGAGCAATGACTATTTCGGAGGGTCGGACACAATTCGACCATTCGCCGGATATGGATCCATGGTCGAGCGAGCTATTAAGACGGACAGCTCTTTCGCGCCGCTCTTTTATGGTGACTGACATGCATGTAGCGCAACGTGTTGATTAGCGAATATATTCCGGCAGATCATACACGATATGGATTCTCGGTCTGTGGGTTCGCTTTACATTACACTCTGACAATACTCCGCCACGCATTTACAATGTTGATGGGAACAACGCCGGAAAAACGCAGTCGAGAGCTGACAGAGACTATCGGAGAATTCCGCGTACGATAAACTGCACTGTGCGATAATAATGTTACATAATTAACGCTACTACAATAACAGTGTATAATTTGCGACTATAATTTTGCAGCGATATATATTTTCGAGGGATATTCGAGCGATATTCAAAATTTTAGAAAATGAAAGATTTATTTCGCAGGAAAAAAGAAATAAAAATGACAAAATTGTATTCTTGAATTTTAATTGCGACTATAGTTCTTGAATTGAAATTTAATTTAAAATTTAATTTTTAAGATGTGGACATTCGCCAATGTAAATAGTAAAGGAAAGATTAATACGGCAATTAAATTACAAAATAATTAATTCGTGCTAATTTGCGATAGTTACAATTCCTCGTAGTGAATCATTATACATACATAACGTAGATTAGAGGAAAGAGAAACCGTCTGTGGTAGAGGATTGAGAAACGATGTGCAATCATTGCATCTCTACATAATAATTCATCATTCTGAAATATTAAAAATGATAATTTATATTAGGCAAGCGGCGGCAGAAATATTATTAGGCATCAAAACGCATAAGTCATTCTTTCGTGGAAACAAGTATACATTTTTTTATAATTAAATGATATCTCTATACATAAGATTTACACACAAGTGTCCTCTTTATCCATGATAGCTATTTCCCATATTTATTCTTTCATAGGTTTTATATCTAAACTTGTGCATCTGATTTTTTTAATTAATAAAATTATTCAAATTTGACGTGATTCATAGAATACTTTGACGATGAATTCTGCTTGAATAATGACAGCAGATATATTGAGGACAACTCCACCACAGGCCTTTCTGCCCATTTCAGGCTTGAGCTCTCAACTTTGGAAGGGGATGTTGACAAACTTGAGAGCAGCAAGGCCGTGAACGCCTAATCTGCTGATTCTAAATGTGATAGTTTACTTTTCTTTGTTATATTTGATATCGTGCACGTCTTGGGTGGACCATAATTTTTTTTCGGGTATCCAGTGCGCCACTAATGGTGGTTCAAACCAAATAATAGAACTGGGAAGTCTGGAAAGAAAAGAACACGTATATTACCAGTTTAATTTTATTTAAATTCGTTTTTATAATTTTTTTTTTAGAAAATTAAGTGATCTACCATAAAAAGATTTTATTGTATCTATAGTCATTATTGCACCGGTCCTTAATTTTTTTTAAGTGAACCATCTATATCAACATTTATATTATTGCATTATACAATATTTCTAAATTCTTACTTGTAAGAATAAGATTAGAGAAATTCATTAACTTATGAAAAATATTTTCTTTTAAGAGAAGATAATAATTTTGTTTTATAAATTATGTTAGAGCGTACTTAAAGTTACCAGAACTAATGCCTCCATTGCAGTCTCCATAGCTTTCATCTCTGCTTCGATCACTTCCGGTGTTCTTTCACAATCGGGTGCCGCTGGTGGGGCCTTGTACGGTTTATAGAATGGTACGAATTTCAATTTTGAGGAATTTGTACTACAAAGAAAATAAAATTTTAAATTGTAAAAAAGGTATATATATATATAATTAGCTTTTTGGAATTAATTAGAATAATTATTACAGGTAAAGTAAAATATACATTAAAAAGATTCTACGATTTTAGCCAAATGCTCGCAAAATATTTATTAATAGGAAAATATTAGCTAAAAAGTAACTGTAATAATCCATGCAGTGGCGATTGTGAAATTTTACGATACACAGATTAAAATAAGTATGTTTATTAATATTCAAATCAACAAAGATATCTGTATTTTAACTTAAAGTATGAAAAATCTCATAGTAAGCATAAACGCGCGACTGATGTGTTGCATTTATATTTCTAGATGAGATTTTTATGTTGCATTGTGTATACCAATTTATATGATGTACTTTTTGTGACATTTAGAACTATTACTATGTATCTAATGATAATCGTCGAATCTTTTATGTACAGAAACAGGAATCATCGTGTGCGGAACCATTAAATCAAGTATGAAAGTTCTATTTATTTAATTAATTTTTACATCTAAATATTAATTAAATTCTTTTTATTATTTCATATTCGTTTTCTATCGTGTGGCTCTTATTAGCTTGTTTTATTATTATTTCTATTTTTCATTGTTTTGCAATCTGCGCAATAATTAATGAAAGATGAATTACAAACGCGCGATGAGAAGAGGCAGTCCACTGTTAAATGGTCGCTAAAAGTCCTGCAAAAAGATACAATCGAACATTACGAGATATTACATATTACTGTGATTTCATAGACTCAGTGACAGTATTCACAATATATAATTTATATCAGTTTAAAATATAATATTTCTTAATAGCGAGTTTTGTTCTAAATATTGTATAATATGTAATTTATATTATTAATTTACAGATATTGTTCTCTAGGCTGCTATAGTAGCGTCCTGCGGATAGATTCTTGCCAGCCCTTCATTTGGTATGTAATGCGTGTGTTCGAATTTGCAAAAATAACGACCTATTTCGCTATTATCGATCCATTTCGGCGTTGTTAAAGTTATAGAATCTAAAATTTAAAAATATGCTATTAAAAACAAATATATGATAAGTAAAATAAACTAAATAATAAACGAAATAATAAATTAAATATATCACAATTGAAATAAACAAAATAACTAAATTATAAAAAGAAACAAAATAAAATAAACTATTATTTTACATTGCGTACAAAATAAGAATCATTATCGTAAAATAAAAATTATAATTTTAAATAAAAATGCACTGATGATATTCATACCTTCATTCACATAACAGATTTTATTGTTATCGGTAAGAATAATGTAATTGGTTTGTTCGTGATCTCTAAACTGTTGATTGTAACAGTGATTCAGTGGCAAGATATCTAGTTCTGCATATATTTCATCACAACTCGTTACTTCGTCGAATTTAACATATGTGTTTGTATGTTGTTCCCATCCAATAATAACTCCAGTACAATTATCTTCACACATATTATGATGTGTTACGATCGTTCCTATTGCAAATTTTACATCGTCTGATCTTGTAATAAATACTCTTTTTTCAGTGGAAATTTTGGGCTGAAAAATGTTAGATTAAACTTCAATTTATCTTTCTTGTCTTTTAAGTTTTAAATAGACTCTTATAGCAAATTATATTAAAATTAATTAAATTATAGATAATTATAATTCATATATAGCTGTATAGTTGTACTTCAAAAAGCAAACTCATAGAGATATTTTCATCATTATTATATCTGATAATAAATGCTGCATGTATAGTGTGCTCACATACAATTATATATTTCAAATAGGGAGCAGATTTACGCTTATTAATCTGGAAACTGTTGTTAAAGTTGCATGTCAAATCCACAGCTCCCATCATTATTTCTTTTCGTAACTAAAAATTAGAATAAATATATGAGCAAATAGAGAAGATTAAAAACAGTTTTGATTGTAATAAAAAAACATATTATACAATTTTTCTGCCTATAAAATGAGTTTTATTAATTCATATGTTTAATTATGCCAAAATTATAGTTATATTTATTAATGTTAAAATCAATAGAAATCATATATAAATAATTACCAACCGATGTAGGAGATATATCGTCATAATTTTGATATATAATTTCTGATGGATGAATAAGTATCAACAATTCACAGCGTCCGAATCGTTTGTAGACAAGACAATACGGGAATTTTTTAGAAATTATGTCGAAACATCTTTCATTTTCTGATCCATCCGTAGCACTTTGAATAAAAAAATAATTAATTACGTGTACGTGTCTGTGTAAAATGAAAGTAAAAATATCTTTTAGGATTTGAATAATTCCAAATTGCATTTTGTACTTACTACCTTGGTACCCAACGTATGCAATATGTAGGAAAAGTAGGTAAATTAGTAGGTAAATTAGGTTTTAAATTATATGCATTATGTTTATGACAATAAGTAAAGTATTGATATTCTCGAGAAGGTCCATTATAGGTGTCCTCTGTTTCTACTATTACATTGCAACATAGACCAAGTCTTCTGGCAACGCCGTGATATATTGTTAATAAAATTATTTTTTGGCCATATTTAGTTTTCAATACCTGTGGCAAAAATTACAATAAATTAATGAAAGCTATAGTACATATTTTCTAGATATGACAAGCATATGACAATGCTCACAGTACAATTATATTTGTTAGGTACATAATTATAATATAATATATTATAATGTATAACTTACATTATCTATGCACATGTATTCTAAATTTGTGTCTTCTGGGTTGCAAAATCGAAAATTTAATTTGTCAAATATATATTCATTCAATGTATCAATAATCTGTATTCCTTCTGGTTCGTTCCAGTGAGTCTCCCAGATATTATTGTTTTTCCAATAAGACAAAGTTTCAGCGGACGTCCCGAATATCGAATGCTCGGGATGTTTTTCTTTGAGGTAATTCTGTACCTCTTGTGCGATATTATTTAGCGATGCTTGTATGTCCGAATAAGATACATTCTTTCTGAGTTGAATAGATTGGGCCGCAAAAGTAGCACCCCATTCCAAAACCACATTCTCTATAGATAGTTTTAATAACTCATCCCATTCTTTCATTAGAGAATGTATCTTCATATTGTCTAATATTTTTCATAACAATATCTTTTGGTTAAATCGCAACCAGTTCTCCTGAAAAATGTATGTATTAACAATAAAAACATTAATCTATATAGAAGTTAAGAACATTCTAACTTATATTGAGGATTCTACCGTGGAGATTGTATAAGCGAGTTTTCAATCTCATCAATGAAAACCAAATATTTCATGAAATTTTCAGGTTTATTAACTATGGTAAATAAAACAGTATTTGGACAATCATCAGAAATCATATCTTTAAAAGATATTTCATTATCGATTGAGTTAAAGTAATCACGATTTGTATATCTGATATCAGACATGTAAATTCGTAATTGTGCCACAATATCTATGCTCATTTCTATAAAATTTGAATTTTTTTTAAACTTCTTTCTTTTTGTTCATATTCTTCAGATTCTTTCTGTTTATTTATCTTAAACAAATTGTCAATATATTTCTTTGCAGAGGACCATCTAAAATTGAAACAAAAATAATTTAAGTGAAAATTATACTAAACAATGTTATTGCATCAGTAATGGCATTTCAGAGCAATATATTTTTAAAATGCATATCTTTTTATTTAACAATTTTTTATATTTTTGAACAGTATAGTTCAACAAATTTATTAATCAATTTGTTAATAAAATTGTAAAATAAAATAGATATATTAATAGAATTAAAATAATAAAATATAATGCATAATTACATAAAAATATGTATAACATTTCTAATTTTTAATTTACGTATTATTGTTTTCTTTTATGCATATTATAATATTATATATTATATTACTTTTATACGTTTTATTATTTTATATATATGTTACATTTATACGTTATATTATGTATATTATGTGTTATATTATATATTATAGATTTTCTATTAGATCATATAACATGGATATGAAAATGGGTTAACGAGAGTTAGGGTGTAGAACTGAGGATATTAGCAATTATTTTCAAAAAAATCTTCCAGTAGAAAATATTTAATTTATACTATTTAATTGTATTCATAAATTTACTATTATTAAAAACTATATAATATGAACAATGGAAGAAAATTCATTGAATATATAACTGCTCGCATGCATTTGAATTTCTGTGTTTTGTCTCTCAGTAACCCCTCATTTGTTTTTATTTCATTTAATAGAGGTCTTTTATCTGATTGTTATATTATATTAGATTTGCATTATTTTTTTATATAGTTAATTTTTTTAAATATGTTTCTTGCAACAGCGATACATTGTACAATAGTCCAAAGAAATAAAAATTACGAAATATTTATAAACAAAGTGAAATACTTACCTCTGATAAAATTTTTTTTCCATAAACGTGTCATTTTTGGCTGCGTAACGAAATTGTTCGCACGTACATCTAAAATTAATAATATCTTCAATAGTAATATCTTTATAGCTGAGAATTATACTTATCATTTCCTCAGGTAAGTACTGTATCGTAGCCATTACAAATATGATTTAGTTGAACACGAGAAAATAATAAATGCAAATAATTGCATGCGCGTAATTAATTTTTGTTTATAAAAGCACACGAGAATCTACTGCGATACTTGTTCGTGAAGAGAATAACCACGTGTTATACATTGTAGACGTCTTTCATACTCTGACTGTACCTTATTTCTGAAATCTCTACCTGCAAAACTAAAGGCCATGTATTTTTCCTCACTACGCTAGTCACGTGACTGGTCCCAAAATGCGTACAAAAGAAAATTTAGACCCTAAGAAACCCATTTCTATTCTATATATATATATATATAGCTTTGAAAAGAGAGAAGATAAACGGATTTCAATAGTGTTATATGGTCTTTACAGATCTTAAGGCAGAAAGATATTCTTTTGTAAATCAGGCAATGCTAGTCAAATGGAATATTTGTTGCTTTACTTGTTATGTTGAAAGAATGGCATTAGAAAATTGCTCTTATAATTAGATTATATATATTTATCGTTCAACGAATATCGTTCAATACTCCATGAGAACAGTAAAATTTTTAAATAAATAATACAGAAATTTTTACATATACGTATAAGAGTTTACTACAATTTATAATGTTACAGAAACTGCGTATGTCTAAAAGCGCTTTTTTTAATAAAATTGCCTATTAGTGTGAAAAGCGAAAAATCATTTTCATCAATAGCTAGAAGGAAAAATATCGAATGCAATATTCTTGTTACAATAATATTAACAGAAGTTTGCATAAATTGATTTTGTTTACTATTTTGCTTATCATTTCCATCATTTATATTTTTCAATTGTGCATGTACCTAATGCTTCATTCAGTTTGATTAGAATTTGGATATTTATTTGTTTAAATCAAAGCTGTATTATATTCAATATATAATAATCATTAATTTTTGGAAAAGAATTTAGATTGTGTATTGTGCATATAATAATAAACACGTACAAACAATAAGCTTCATTATGCTTTTTCATTGCTATTATAACGATAAATTATTGCATCTTTTTATAAATTTACTTTTTCAATCTTGAACTACATAATTCTGGTTTCTCGTTTATCGATGTGTCTATGTATATAATCTAATATCTTGTGTACTTAAATAATGTGCATTGTTGGTAGCTGATTTCAGCATTTATATCTAATCGAAATCTGCCTATATTGTTCTAGTAATAGATACGATAATATTTTCAAATACATAATTTTGATTCTTCTTTCGTTATTAGTTCTGTTCACATGTTTACTTTATGTTAATGATAATGAACTATATGACACTTAATTCAAACGAATCGATTCCAGCGTTTTATGTTGGACAAATAAAATAGTTTGTATTTATTGTAGAAATAGAATCACACACATACCTTTGTACTGATATAACAGAAAAGTTTATTAGATAACATATTATTGCTATTGTCAAAAAAAATACAAAGTTCATGATATATGTATATAATAGATTAAATAGATCAATTTATAAGTGGAGAAACAGAGAAATCAATTAAAATTCATAAAAGATATATACCTTTAATTTTTTTATTTTCAAAAACACATTTTAAGATGACATGTTGATTACATTAATGTAACCCAGAAGTTCCGTGATAGTACTGGCAAGTTTAAAGGAAACGTTCTTCATCAAAAGCCGACTTTTGATCCCGGCGTTTTGTAGCGCCAAGTGATGTAGATCAGCATAAAACTAACTTAATTTAAACTTTTAGTCAATTATTTCTCACAATTTTTTTTTTAAATGAATTGCCTAATTTTCTCTGATCGATCTGAGATATATCAAAGAAATTGTGTATTGGTTCAAATATTAATCTTTCGTAAATTTAGATGTATAGTAAGCTATATAATTCAATTTGTATAATATTTATTAGATTATATCTTTTTATGTGAGATTTTAATATTATCTTGTATCGTATACATAATTATATTTTTAATTACACAGTAATAGCATGATTCATCTTCAAAATAATTATCGATCAGCTGATGGAATGTGTGGGTTGTAAAATTAAATGCGTTCACCTTTGAATTCTCACCATCCAGAGGTACATCGGAAAATTCTGAGCTCACTTCGGTACAGGATACTGTCATCGTTCGCGAGGGAGTCACCAGAAGAGTCAAGTTCGTTCGCTACAAAGAAGGAAAAATAGGATATTCTGATAAAAATCTGGAAAATCTGTTTATTTTTCGTTTTCATTCTATGTATCCTGGCGCAACAATAATTGTAACACTAAACTTTTCGGACAGAAATTCAACTCGCTACCTCTTTCGCGACGCATCCGTGATGTTCTTTGAACTGTATCACGATTTCTTTGGAATTTGACCGGCGTTCCAGCGTGACCAGGAAAACGTATACGTCGTGCAAAGTAAAGCGATACATTCCCGCAAATGTTTCTCCGTGGCTGGATGCTTCATCGGAAGAGCCTTCACATAACTGAACGCATCTCGCTCCGGAAACAGATCGCATCCGGCATCGCGCATCTTCTATCAGAGGAAAATATTTTGTTAATAAAATACTAAACTGCAGATCGAAGAAGAAAAACAGAAAAAGAAAGAGCGACTACCTCAATTAAAAGATGCAGTTTCATATATTCTCCAAGCATGTCTTTGAGCGCCGTCGATGTACCTCCAGCCAGCGAATTCAGACAGACCAGGTCCTCCTGGCGAAAACAAAATGATATTATCGAATAATTTGCATTTTACGTTGAGAATTTTTGCGATCTTATAGAGATGTATTTTCTAAAAATATAAACATATTTTAGAAAAAAGAACGATGTTGATAATTAAGAAGGCGTCAACAGATTTTGTACTGTCACTTATATTATATCTTTAAGAATATCTAGAATCTATCCTTTCGCGAAGATATATATATGTCAATATATATTTCGCGCCACACATTTTATCTTTATATAGATAATAAAAATATAGTATTTATATCGACATCTCAGATGAAAAAAGTGTTAGTTTTGCTAAATTATGTAGAATAATGTTACTCAGATAATTTATGGTTTAAAGTCATAGTACATAAAAACTTAAATAGTAGATCAAGCGATGAAATATTTATATATATGATATAAAATTTAATTATACATTTTAATTATATAAATATTTTAATTACAAATTTTACAAATAGTTATAATATTTATAAAATATATTTATAAATAAAAATATGAGTATAACTGTGTAAACATCACCTAGATAATGTCCAGACAAAATCTATATAATTTCCACCTAGTAAGCAAGAAATATTTAATCAACATTTTAAAATGTTGATTTTATATAACTTTTCTAAACGTTTATGATATAACGTTTTATAAATACGTAGATTTGAAAAAGCAAAAGGAGATTTGTTGGCTTCTGCTAAAAGCGCCGGTGTCTCGATGCACATAAAATTAGACTAGTAATCGTTATATAAATTGAAGACTAGTAATTAAAAACATCGTTTACTCAAAAGATGAGAAGAAATGGAATATATACAATATATAAAAGAAAAATTTAGTCGTACGGTGGCTGTGCAAGCTGCGTCGCCGCTAATTGATTTTAAAGATTTATATTTTAATCCTCCTCTTGTAAAAAAGACACGTAAAATCGATTCTTGCATGTATTGTTGCAAGTGAAACAGGTCTACATGCGGCCATAAAGAAATAATTATACGAACCCAAACTGCATTACATTATAGCAGCTGAAATTGGCAATTTTACAAGTTTAAAAAAGCAGATAGATGTGTTCGATTCTATTAAAAGCCGGTTCTGTTAAAATATAATAGTACAGGAGACAGTGAATATTTTATACACTTTCGCAGTCAATAAATATTGATAGGATTGTTCCATTAGTGATGCTAATTAACAAATTGTCAGTCTGGCAACGATTTTCCGTTGAATCAAGCCGGAGAAAATCTTAAAAAATATAAATGCGTTGCACTTTTTTTTGCATTAATAAATTTTTTTCTACTAATGATTATTATCCTAAAAGTCAGTAAAAAAGCAGTCTGGCTGATCTGCAGATATCGCAGATAAGTCTGGCACGTAAATAATTGAAGAAATGGAACACAATTAAATGCATTTACTTTCGCAGCGCTGAAAATTTGTTTGATAATAATTTATATTTTTGAACATTCAGAAAATATGCAAGTATACATTTAATTTGTCATAAACAATGTTATTAATTAAATAATTAATTTTTATGCAATAAAAAGATTTTACTTGAAAAATTAATGTGTAAAAATAGTTATTAATAGTTATTCATATGAACAAATTCACTCGGGATCTTCTGGTTCATCTTCCTCGTTCTCGCTGTCATTTAGATAAAAAAGTAAAAATAAAAAAAATTTATTAGTTAATAAAAAAATTATGCATGACAAATTAGATAACATTTGCATTGCACAAAATATGCACTTGCATATTTTCTTAATGTTTAAAAATATAAAAACTTACGAAAAGATATGAGAAAGTAGAATGCAAGTCGTCTCCGTATATAATCGAAATGAGTTAGGCGAGTCTAGCGAGGCTTTGGTGATTATAAATAGCAGCCTGTTTTTTTTAGTTATTTATAGTATAGACTATTATCTGATAAATTTTCAGCACTGCGAAAGTAAAACTGCCGTTCCTGTACGAGTGCGAACGAAAAACATTCCGATCACTTATGAATTTGCAGGTTTTAGGTCTTTCGATCAGTCTGGTGAGACTTTGGTGGTCCGTATTATAGCCAGACTGTTATCTTTACTATTTTTATAATGCAAATTATCATGAAACAAATTTTCAGCACTGTGAAAATAAGTACAATGATTTTCTATTTTTCCAAATTTCGAGGTGCCGACAGATTTACTTGCCAACTAATTTTTAATTATTTTTTACGACAATATTAGTTAGTACAATAAGTTTCGTTAATGCGAAAATAAGTACAACGTATTTCGGAAATCGATCTGATTTTCCGATCAACGGATTTATCAAAACATCATAGCCAGACTGATTTTCTGTACCTTAAGATCAGCCAGACTGCTTTTTTAGTAAATGTTATCATAATGTTAAGTAGTACAAGAAGTTTCAGGACTGCAAAAATGAGTGCAACTTATTTGTATTTTCCACCCATCGAATCCAGCGGAAAATTGTTGCCAGATTGCCGATTTGTTAATTAGCATCACTAATGGAACAATCCTATCAATATTTATTGACTGCGAAAGTAAATGTACAAATATTCACTGCCTCCTGTACTAAAACCATTGCAGAAAGATAAAAATTTGCGGGATATTTGGATAATTTATTGCTTGCGGCAGATTCAATGCATCTTTTAATTTATTGTTCGCGCTTACGTCCGAAAAATCAGGTTTGTCCATCAATAAAAAAATGACGACAATCTTAATTCAAAAGTATAATTTCAAAAGATATTTTGAATGTTGATTGTATGAGTTCAATAATAAAAATCAAACATCGCTGCGACAATTTTTTCTCGAATGATTAATAAAATAAATCAATATAATAAAACCAAAACTACCCCAATTTAATATTATTTTTTATTTTTTCTGTATTATATTTAAATTAGATTATATTAAATTTTTAGGGGAATAAGATTGTGAAGAAAGAACGAAGGTTTTTCTTTGCCTATTTATTTTTTAATTAAAATTACATGTAATTGTGACCGCCATAAATGTTACAATTTTGTTTTAATAAGCTCACAACAACAATTTAATAAGACGAAGATTTTTGTACATGTTTAAAAGTAAGTTTTACAATAATAAAATTTAGATTTATATATCAGTCTAAAATATTTAGATTATTTAATATTTTATAAAACACAATTTTTTTTTTTTTTAATTTTCAATTTTGTAATTTAACTTTTGTGACAAATATATGACATATATATTATATTATTATTAATATTTCATAAAATAAATATATGAAATTCCTTATATTTCATATAAATTATAAATTATAATGCTCATAATTTTATTTGATTATATGTATATGCAATGCGTACTAGCTATCACTTTTGCTGCAAACAGAAATAACTACAAATGTTATATATGTATCGCCAAATTGTGCTAATCGACGAGCAAGAATTTGAGGTATTATCAAATTCGATATATCAAATTCGTCGGATATCAAAATACGAGTAATCTTATGAATTTGATGTGCCAATAACTTCAACAAATTACAATGTTCGTTTATAGTGCGCAGAGAAGATGGGAATATCAAGCGGTGTGCGATTATCATGTATGTAAAATGTGTTTACGCTTTGCGATATACGTATATGCTAATGCACGCAATTTCTTCAGAATCGATGCACGTTAATGCTTTTGCAATACATCGCATTTGTTACGTCACTTATTATCTAAACACAGTAATAGTGATCTATACATTAGAGTCTCAACCTTTTGATTTATAGAACAAATATATTTACGAGACTAGCGTTTCAACGATTTTTCCACCTCCTATAATTTTCCCTTCTCTGTATTGAAACGATGACTAATCATATTTTTACTCACGCGACAATTTTACAGAATTAATTTCTATTTCTTATTCTATATGTATTTTTAAATACATAAATTGCGAGTAATGCGTTATAAAAAAGAGGCAACTGGATAGAATATTTCTTAATCAAGACCTTGACAATTTTCCTTCTTATTAACAGGTGACACGTGCGTAAGTTGATGAAGTCGGATAAATTATACAATTGTTTTTATTTTTTTTATGAAACATGGTACACGACTCATTATATACATATGTAAGCGTTTGATCGGTTAAAATTAATACGTATGTAAATTATTATTACCTTACAAAACAATCTCGATAAAAAATATTTAAAAATATATATTAATCAATAAAAAAGACATTATCAGTGCTGGATACTAGAATAGAATTATTATGTTTTGCAAACATCGCAGTTGTATAATAACAACTTTGAGCAACTGAAAAGAATATACTTTTTGTGCACTCAAACTGTAAGAATTCAAGTCGGTGTTTTTAAAAAAGTAAAGAACGATTTTGATATCGTGGATTATATATTTGATTAAAATTCTGCGTGTTAAAAAAGTACTAATTAGAAAATGCTTTTGTTAGTTATAAAGAGTTTAACATTATCAGAGTGCAATGATTGAAGTACGTTATTATGCTTAAAAAAATTAAAATTAACACCAATGGCCAAGTAATACGTCATGGCCAGTCATTGATACATTTACCTTAATCATTAAACATTTAGTCTCTTTTTATATATTAAAGATATATACATAATACATTATAGTATATTGAAATTATAATTCCAATATAAAAACGTCGCTCACTCATAAGACGAGAAGAAAAGAATATATAAAAAAAATATTATATATAGAAAAGAAATATATACACCTACAGATATTATGTACCTACATGAATGCAAACATGCATACATATTTTTATCTGATTTCTATCGTAACAGATGAATATTAATTATTTCTTATTATAAAAAATAACGTGTCGCGAATCCATATTACGTGTTGCGTAAGCAAACGGAACGAAAAATCTTCAGTCTAAATGCTTGCTTCTTCGAACACTTATAGAGATCAGTCTTGTAGAATTCATGGCCAGTCGAGTTCCATATTGCTATTATGTGTGCGACTATTAATCGTCATCATAACTTCCGGTGCAATATTTCCTTGATAATCTCCTTCCTTTCCAACGACACGAGAGACAGAGGCGTCTTCCCCTGATTATTGTGTATGTTTATTAAGCCACCGGCTTCTATCAGAAGCCGACAAACCTCCTTCTGCTTCTCCAAATCGACGGTAGTTGAAACTCCCGCGGCCAGATGCAACGGCGTGTTGTTGTTGTAATTTCTCTCGTTTACAATCGTCGAATCTGCATTCAGTAATATCTGTTGAATACAAGAAAAGCGTGAGTGTAATTCGAGTGAAAATTATCACGATATATCGAAAAATTTAATCCGTCCTTCATGCCAAATTAAAAATATAATGCAACAGAGTCAAACATATCCCGAATATATTAAATAATTCAAATTTAGTATTCCGTTTTAGCTACTTTTAGACAGTTTATTTCTTAAAGTTATTTTACTTTTAAAATGGATTTTTTTTAAATTATTATTTCACAGGATATTTAAAATATTTTTTTACTTGATAATTTTTTAAATTAAGAATAAATTTTATCCTTTCTGAATCCGTCCTTCATCCCAAATTAAAAATATAATGCAACAGAGTCAAACATATCCCGAATATATTAAATAATTCAAATTTAGTATTCCGTTTTAGCTACATTGGACAGTTTGTTTCTTAAAGTTATTTTACTTTTAAACTGGATTTTTTAAAAATTATTATTCCACAGGATATTTAAAATATTTTTTTACTTGATAATTTTTTAAATTAAAAATAAATTTTATCCTTTCTGATCCGTCCTTCATCCCAAATTAAAAATATAATGCAACAGAGTCAAACATATCCCGAATATATTAAATAATTCAAATTTAGTATTCCGTTTTAGCTACATTTGGACAGTTTATTTCTTAAAGTTATTTTACTTTTAAACTGGATTTTTTAAAATTATTATTCCACAGGATATTTAAAATATTTTTTTACTTGATAATTTTTTAAATTAAGAATAAATTTTATCCTCTCTGAATGCATCATTTAAAAGAGTTACCTTAATTCTTTTATTAGTATAAGTAAATTTCATGTAAAATTATTATTAAATAATTATCGCACGTTTTGTAAATGCAACAGGAGAAACCGCGTGGAATGACCATCAAATGGATTTTTTATTATGATCACATATAGCGGTATTGTTTTGTAATTGTAAAATATAATAAGCTGTATAAGAAGATGTGTAATCGTGAAGCTCTTAATACGTCAAGAGAATTGAAAATAGTTTCTTCGTAATTCCATTGAGCAACGCATTGCAGACCGCATAAATATGACTTTATCAGAATGCAACAGCCTGTGCTAACGATTTCGCAAATAAATAGTAAATGACGCACGTATATCGCATGGAAATCCCCCTTTCTTTTATTGCCACGTGATTTACCTTGACAAGCGCGGGATCGCAGTGCAACGAGATCGCAATGTGTAAAACTGTGTCCCCGCTTCGGAGCTCTTTGACCTTGGGATCCGCGCCGTTCTCCAAAAGCAGACGTGTCATGACTAAGGCCTTTACCTTCTTCGGACCGGTAAGATGCTCTTTGACCGCTATATAAAGAGCAGTTTGACCTGGAATGACACACAAATGTGCTTTCATTCCATTTTTATTAAATCGATACATTTGTCAAGCCTATCGATTGACTAACCATATATATTCGGGCTGGATATATCAAAAGCGGAGTTTTTCTTAAGCAAACTCAAGATTTCCGCCATAACATCCCCGTGTGAATCGCCTCGCGCTGCGATGCAATGCACCAGTGTATTGTTCTGATAGGAAAAACGATGGTGACATCAGAAAAATTCTTTACAAAATCATTCGTTATCCAGGTAGCAAGCTGACGTCAAAATAATGTCATTTGACGTCAAAATAACGTCATTCGACGTTTCATTACGTCAGCTTGCTACCTTGGTAGCCACGTTTTAATTACGTTTGTTTCTATTTCAAGAATATGTAGCTTAATTATATATATAATTAACTTAAGAATATATGTTATAAATATAATATATATTTTTATATATTATATAATATTGTTATATTAGTTAATTATAAATATAATTATATATTTTATATAATATATATATCTTCTATATATTATGTAGATATTTTATAATATTTATTAAAAAATATATGTGATTATTATTTTAGCGATAAAAATTTCCAAGTAATTGAAATTGTTTCATATACAAAAATTCATTTAAATAGTACACATTATTCGAATTAAAACGAAAATGAGCTTATATAAGTGCGATTAACAAACCGCGCGAGAACTTCAAATTTCCCTTATAAGAAATCGTGAGAAAAAACTTACATATTTGTCTAATTTTTTATTGATATCGATTCCTTTATGCATCATTACGGCGGCCAGATATCCGAAAATATACGACATTTCCGGATAATTCATGGCGGCAAGATACAAAGCGTTTTCGCCGCTTTTGTTTTTCATTTCTAGGGCGCCCGGCGTGTTGTCCAATCTCTCGATCAATGGCACCAGGTACGCCATCTTTTTCTTAAATTCCTCCGGATCGCTCAGGAAGCGCATCAGTTCCCTATTATTTATAATAATACGTGTATAGAGACAACGTTAACACAACGCAACAACGAATTAAAAGAATTAAGTAATCATGTAAAAATAGTTTTGAAATCAAACTAGAATAATCCGTAGAATAAGGATTTTTTTGTTTAAAATATCTAAGATTTTTAATATTAAGAAACAAATTAATTTAAAATATTTTTACGATATTGTTAATTTACGAAAAATAAATAAAAATCCATTATAAATCATTGTAAAATTGAAATTGAAAATGAATGAAAAGTTTTGACCTGATTAGTAATTAAATTGTACGTTTAAATGTCAAGGTTTAATTTTTTTTACTATATACATACAGCATCTATCGAAAAATTGATAATATATTCGGTGATATCAATCAATATATTTTATTATATATTAGATGTGTATACATCTTTCATTTTAGGTACATACGTATGTACCTTATTCATATACATATATTTAATTATAAAATAAATTACTTACGTATCGCCATCCTTATCTGGAGTCGTTAGTATCTCCATGGACATATTCGCAAGACTATGCATAGCTCTTACCACTTCCTCAGCATTCAATTCTTGCTTTAATCTCGTGCTCGCACTTACGGACGGCAACTTCAGCATACTCCATGGTAATATTTGTCGGTTCCTGTCATAACAAATCGGGTCGTTAACCACAATTCTTATCATATCTATTCACACGAAAGCTATTTTTAATTACATATTTTAACACGGGATGTAAAAATTATAATATAAAAATTCAGAAATCACTACTTCTGATTTATAATTAGTATTTTTCTTCAACGTCTTCCGAAATGTCAAAAATACGCTATTGTCAGAAATCTGAAATAGGTAATCTCTTATTAATTTTGATTTTATAACTTTGCGGAAATATAGAATGCAATATTTTTTTTTTACATCGCATCGCAGTAGTTGATCTCTCTTTTCGTCATGTCTTCTCTTTCCGAAGGAAAGGAAGATTTATTTCAATAAGATTTTTTGTTTCAGCAAAAAATGTTGAATAATTTAAATTTATATTTAAGTATTTTTTCTATATTTTTTTCATCGCCAATATCTCCCGAATTATTCTGCCGTCACTTATTCGCTTCTCACAATTACATCTCGCGTCCCAGAACTTTTGTCAAGCTTACCTCCGCGGAGGTGTAGATGAGGAGACCGTTTTTGGTACTCGAAAATTATTGAATTCATATGTCGGTGCTCGATTCTCTTCATTAGATGTGGCGTGGAACATCTTCTGAGATGAGTTTTGCTCTCACGGGTCTCTCGTTGTTATTTACGACAGTATTGGAGAAATTATCGCGATACTTCAGTACATCAATCTGAGGATTTTCTATGTTCGTATTGTAACATGTTTGATTCGAGAAAGAGAGAGAATACAGATTGGGAGGCACACACTTGTTGGGCATGCAGTAATTCGGGGAATTTACTTCTTTGCCTGCGCTGGTGCACATGTTCACGTAACTCGTTCTGTTATTCAGGAAAGACGTTTGGGCAAAACGCATTGGCTCACTTTGCGTGTTGCTCGCAAGGTACTCGTGCTTCAGGTTATTATAGCTGGACGAAAAATGTGGGATATTGTGGGTAACCTCTGACTTCTCCAGGTTCTTCAACTCGTTGCGCTCGTTATTTTTGAGCTCTTTGATGACCCGATCATTTAAGGCCTGATCTTTTATGACCTGGTCGATGAGATTCAGTTCCGTCTCGTTGATGGTGCCCGAAGAGTCGCCACTGCACAAAATCTCGAACTGGTCCTCTAATTGAAAATTCGGGGATGTCTGGTGATTCAGAGGGCTGAACACGTCGCTGTAGGATTGATTAGAGGGCGAAGATTGATTGGAAGACGAAGAAGACAGCAATGCCTGCGGCACTCGATAAGTCGGTGCGACCTAAACGAAAGAAAGACGTTCATTAAACCATCGAAACCATCTGCCATCACGAGTGGATTCGTTTCATGTTTATATATATCAGCGGACGAAACGTGACAAATGTCACCAACTGCGACATATATTCGTACAAGTTGTCAGATAATTGTTCGAATATTTTACGACACTATATGTATATGTAGAATCGTCATAAAAGACGCGTTTTATAGACGAAACAACGCGACGTTTCGACAGTCGCTAATTTTAAATATTCAGGCTTTTTTATTAAGCTCCTTCTTTCTTAAGATGTCATATAATGAATTTAATATCGGGAGATAAAATTGAGATATTTTTCTTCTAAATTTAGATGAAAAGCATATAAAGATAAAAACATATGTTTGAAAAAATGGCATTATTATATCAAATAGCTTAATCAGATAGGACGACAAGATATATGTATAAAGAAAACGGAAACGAAGTTTGTACAGATAATGATCGGAAATAAAAATATCAAAAACCAAGCTTTAATCAGTCTAGAGATAAAAAAATCGCGAACTCTAAAATGCTGAAATTTGTAAAAGCGATTACATGAGCTTTAAGACTATTTAATTTAAACACTTTAAGCTTATTTAATTTGTCGGCTCGTTCTCGTGAAATCGATCGTTTCTGCACGTACTAAAACTTCATTATGCGCTCCGGTCTGACTTATTCCGCTTGTTGAAATTCTGTTTATGCACGCGTCGCTCTTCATGCATTTATGCGAATACATCGCTTACGAACCTGCGGCGAACCGAGCGGACTGCCGATGATGTTGAGGGACATCTGCGGCGACCCCGAAGAGTTCGTCACCGAACCGGGCGACTGAGCGCGACTCGACGCCCGACTGTTCGATCCCGAGACGAAGCTGATGTGGCTTTTCGGGGAATCGGACAACGTGCTTCTCGGCGAAGGGATCGAGTTGTTACCGGTGCCCGAGCAGGTTTGAACCGATTGATAACCGTTCTGCTTCATAAACTGGATCAACTCTTCGGTTCCCATCTCGGTGACGAAAATGGAGGGAAGTTTTGTCTGAAATCAGAGATAAGTCCTCCTTTAACTCTCTTAAAATTATATATGCGCTTATAATTATATGTATATATATAATTATATTTAAAGAGACACTTCCGAGTTTATGTTATTGTATATTATATTTTATATTACGAAATATAATAATTTCAGTCGTTTATATTTTATGCTTCTCATCATTGATCGATTAAGTAATTATATATAATTTGCATGATTGATAATTTATAGAAAAGAATCTTGACAACTGTTTTTAATTTTTTCAAATGCGAATTTTTAGTAAATAAAGTTGGTTTTATAAAAAAAAAGTATAATAAAAATTGAAAATAATAGTACGCGTGACATGATTATATATCTGCACATCAAATGTGACATTAACAAATTATTCAATTTAATTTGTTTTTTATGTAATATTAAATGTGTGTGTGATTATTTATTTATTATCAATCAATATTACATATTAATAAAAAGATATATGAACATAAATAATTCTTTCTTTTTCGCGATTTCTGTGATTTTCTCTATAAAAAAATATTTACGCCTCAATATTTGTATCCGTAATATAACATTGACCCTAGACCCATATCTTACAATCTTGTAACGTTATTGTACGTCGTATTTCTACGTCGTCTCAATAACAATTTAATAGACTTACGTCACTGCTGAGATCTCCGCTACAAAAGCCATTCTCTTCAGTCCGGCCAGGGTCTATTGATCCGATGGACAACCCATTTTGATAGTTCAAGCTTAACGACAGTTGATCCAAACAGGGGTTCAGTTTCTCGCTGTAATCCTTGTTCTTCATAATTTCTTCGGCTCTCTTTTCAATGTCCTCTATAGGAGTTACTGTACAGTTATTTTGATAAGAAAAGAAATAAGGTTCAGCTCGTCGCTGGTGCTGATAATCAAACCCCGATCTAATCGGTCCCTTTACGATCAGATCAGGGTCATCGAAGTTACTGCAATCATCGGAGTCGTAAGAGTCCTCGTGCTTCTGTTCGATTTTCTCGACGTCGCGGATGTTGAGCGGCAGACATTTGTTGGCTTTGCAGTTGTCTTTGCTGCCGTTGATCGTGACATTGTCATTGTTGTTTTCGTCTTCCTTACCGTCGGAAGAGCTCTTTTGCAACTTGTTCCGACACTCCACTTTGTCTGCATTATTTTTGCTGCTGACATTCTTATTGTCGTCGTTGACATGCAGATTTTCGAATTCCTTGATTATATTGTCGGACTCACAACTACTGACACTAATAAATTTGCGGCTCGACTGACGCACAATGTTTTCACAGACCACATAGTTGTGGGGCCACATGTTTTGTGGCAATATCACCAATGATGGCATTTCAAAATTTCCCATCTTGGATTCTAATCTATGGTTTTGGTTGCAGTTCATGTGACCTGGCCGAGTTTTCGCGCTTGAGCGACACGATGTGTCCGAACTGATATCTTCGGATGATGCGTAAATCTCCTTCATGGAACGAAACGATTGTCGAACATTGAGCTCCATGAATAGGCTGGGATTTATGTTCAATGCAGTCACCTGAATTTTTCCCAATTTTGCGTAGTTTTTTTGGAACTATCTTTATCTCTTTCCTCGTCAATTAATATTTCTTGGTCTTGAAAACTCCGTTTCGATGTAAATCTGTGAAGTAAATCACCACGAATATTTTTCAGATTATAACGTGAAGATAATCCCGTTAAACATTAATATTTTTTCACAAATATGATATTAGCTATAAAAATTATATAAAAGATTCATAAAAAATATTTTTACATATTTTTTATATATTTATTATGTACTTATTTGTTTATTCATTGCAATTTATTATTAAACATTATGTTTATTTTTGTGATATTTTTATTGCGTTTAATTCATCTTCTTAATCACTGTAATTTCTGATCAATTAAATAAAATATTCAAGTTATTTCAAAATCGTTCAAATAATGTTACATATTAATTTAAAAATATTATCACAATGTATTTGGAAAACAATTATGATATTTTATTATAAGAAATAATATAATTTATACATCTATGTAAACTCTGCATCTAAACGACGTAGTATATATTCGACAAAAATTAATAAAAAACGTGACAGTAAACATTCTTTAAAATATTTTTCAAAAGATAACGTCTGATCCCGTGTCTTTTCAAAATCGCGTCGCTATTCACGCAGAAGCAGCTCTTTATATTCTTTTACTTCCTAATTATACATATTCTTTTTCTTTTTGCAACCATTTGCGATGCGGTAACTGCAAACGTTTAAACGTTTACGCCGTCGTGAAAAAAGCTTAACAAGCAACTTATTGTTAGCTCTTCTATTAAATATAAATGTCTTTCATTTATACACGTTGATATTTGGCATTACGTTTATTGTCATTTGACAACTTTTTATCGTTCGATAGCATTCGTTCATTAACGCCGTATTGTGTGTTGCGATGCGAAAAAAGACAGATATACGAAGATATACTTGTAAATTTTTACCAGATCAAAAGTAGCTTACGTAATATGGTAATTAAGAAAAAAAACAATGAAAAAGAAATGTAGAAACTCTTGCAACATCGCGCATGGAACAATTGCATTCTACTTGCAAATAGAGTTCGTTGAAAAATTTCACGATAACCTATGTTCCCGAGACAATAAAGATCGTATTATCATTATTTAACAGTCGGTTACCGATGAATGACGTTCATTAGATGCATAATAAGACTTTGATTAATTACAATCACATTACAACTAACAATACATGCTTCAATCATCTTAAGATTTATATTACACATACATGCATATAATTAGTATATAATCAGTTTTATATTTTAGTTTATTATAAAATTAATTTTGCACAAAATTTTATTTCTGTGTAAAGCATAGAACTTTAAAAAATAGAAATATTAAGCAGAATATTAGTTATTTTTAATTCATTAATTTTTCCTTTGTTGTATTAAGATTATTATAATTTATTGTAGGTTTTCTAATCTTTTTTTTTATAAAATATATAAAATATAAAAATATATTAAGTAAAAATATAAAATAAAATATAAATAGTTTTTTAAATAACTTCATATAATGAGATGATTATACCTTTTTATTAATAATTCAATTCAATCCATCTATTATTTCCGCTATTATAAAATCAGCACGAAATCTATGATTTTAGGTCAGAAAGCCAACACTGTGATCAGATATTTGACTAACAAATTTTTGTAATAAAATTTAACATTTACACCTGTAAAGTAAAACTCAGTTATGAAGCATAATGTAAGCTTAGATAAAAAGCAAACAATGACAGTAATATTTAAATAAGCATTTAAAGATAATGAATTTTCTCAAGTTTTAAATTTTGCAAATCTCACAAACAAAGCTTCTTTTTTAAATTTTCTGTAGTTTTTCGAGACACGCTTTACAAGAGGGTTCTACCAAAAAATATTACAATTGTCAAATCAATCTCTCGCTCCCAATTAAAATGTAGAAAATGTTACCTTTTTGAGAAAAATCTGAAACACACATCGAATCATTATGAGTCTTCATATGAAATATTAATACAAAATTAAAAAAATAAAGAGAAATAAATCGAAATTAAAATTTTAAATATAAAAAAAATAAAATATAAATAAAAAAAAATAAAATTGGAATAAATTGTGCATACCTTGTAGAATATAAAGCGAAAAATTAAGAATCATAAATTGATTCTTTATTGTGCACCTTATTGGCGGAATAATTTTCAACGCGCGTTCTCGCATTTGTAATTAAGATGAAGTACACAATCACAAAGAACAAAAAACAAATGTGTGCGATCGTTAGAAAATTACTCGGTTTCCAAGTGATCGTGTGTTAATTTGATGTGACTGACGGGAGTCAGCTCTCGCCTGCATCAGACACGCGACCATCATGTCTTATATGTATTGTGCATGTATTGTGCGTGTATGTACATACGCATTCGTGCGAGTGCATAAAATTATGCTGCGTAACAAAGTTTTTATCGTACAAGTGCAACCAAGTGTCTCTCTTTCTCTCTCTTGCGATAAAAAAGCAATGCTATAATGCTTTAAATCTATTTCCATCTCTTTTTCCCTCCCTCTATCTTTTTGTCTCTCTCTCTTTCTTTCATCAATGATTATAGAGTGATAAACGATGGATAATGAAGTATTTTCCAAGAATAAGCTGCAGAGACGCAAATAGATAAGAAAATATTATTCATTGATATCTTATAATTTTAGTCTTGAAAACCCAATAATCAGAGACCGATATTTTAGCTTGAAAATTTATTGTAGAAAAAATTGTAATTCAAGAGAATTTATATATCAAGAAAAAAATAAAATTTTTTAAATTAATTTTTTATATTTGTTTCTTCGATCCACGGCTTATTGGTTTACAAGACAGATTAATTAAGTTAATAGTTAATACATAACGCAAGGTTTTTTTAAAGAAACTGCAAATAATAAAATAAAAAATAAATATTTATTAGTAGATATGACAATTTATTTTACAAGTTATAATTGAGTTTTGTATAATTTTACATATACCAACACACACACACACACACACACATACGTGTAAGAAAAAAAATACAAAAAATTAAGAAAAATAAAAAATCGTTATAAATGTTTTTCTATAAATTTTGATTTTAAATATAAAAAATCTTAAAATTTGATAGAACTATTCTCTCCATAGATAAATCTCCATTCGAAAAAACATGTTTATTCATTAGTTCTAGCACGAGCTAATTCTTGCAAAAGCTTATGCATCTTGTAGCAGATATTAAATATAGTATGCGTTATAAAGAAAGCTAAATATTAAAAGCAAAATATTGCGTAATAATAATTACCAGAGTAATTGTAATTATCACGAGCGTTTCCTCGAGACGTCGAATCAGCGGGATCCTAACTACGTCGCAAATAAGAGATTACGTTTTTCTGAACGTATCTTCTTTTCGCATAAAACCGCGTGGTGAAATGACGCTTTCGCACCTTCTCTCACAAAAATAAAGATTTTTTTCCTTCCAGATGCGTTTTTCCGACCTCGTCTAACAAAATCTCAAGTTTCTTTCTTCTCTTTCATGAAACCAGTTCCAGGTCACTCACATTTGCGTGCGATTTATTCGTTACGTCTCTCGTAAAATTAAATTTAGAATGAACATAGAGCGCGAGTGCGTATATTTCAATTAATTTTTTTCAGAAGATATATAATTACATTTTTTTTTTTTATAAAATTATATATATTTCTTTTTTTTAACACGTAAACGCGTTGCAACTCGATTTTCTCTTCAGGTAGTCTTGTAATTGGAAACTTAAGGCAGGCAAAAAGACACGAGGAGTCCCTTTTATAACTCTACAGATGTAGATTTTTGGCAGGCAAACACACACTTCCGCGCGCGCGCGCGCGCAACTTCTGCTCCGAAATTCTCCGCGAGTCACGGATCACGCGCAACAACCTTCGGCGTTTCACGTCGCTTCAATAATAATAATCGAGCGAGACACTCGCGGGATCCTTATCTCGCGTCCGTGACTTTTTGTCGGATCGCACCTCTCTCGTCCCCCCGGTCGAGACACACAGACGCACAAAAATTCGCAGGTACCTCTTTTCTGGAATTTCCACAACCGCTAGATGCTGATCCCTTCTTTTGCGGAATTTCCACGACCGCTAAATTCTATATATATATATATATATATATATATGTTGTAATCGCGAGTGTATTTCCCGCCAAGGCCGCGAGATTCGCGAGAGACCAATATCTGTCGCGTGTCCTGTCCCCTCTCCCGCGATATCGCGACACTCCCGCGCGACGCGAAATACACATCCGCTCCGGAACGATGCGCGCGCGCGACTGCGCGGCTCCAGCTCATTGACGCGTACCGACGACGACGACCCGCCGACGCGACGCGACGCGTCGTCTCCGTCATAATCGCCTTCTTTTCAGGAATGTAGCTATCATACCTAGTCCTTTTTTTTACCAGTCTTCAGTGTTGTGCTTGGATGATTTTTGAATTTAATCTTAAATTAGCGGCATAGAGATGAGATGAAAATATGTAAATTTATGTCTTATATGAAGATATGATTTTCTTTGAAATATATCTACATAAAAATAAAATTATATCATAACGAATCCATCTAGATAATTTCCAGGTAATATTATTTTTAAGAACACAGTTATAGAAAAAATGTAAATTAATAAACGGATATAGAAAATATATTCATATTTTTATTGAAGTTTTTATCGCTGTTCTACTAAGTATTTAAGTATGCGCTATGATTAGCTGGATAGAAATAAGATAAGATATGGAAATTTATCTTAGCTGAAGATATGATTTTGTTTTAAATATATCTACCATAAATAAAGATAAAATTATATCATCGAGAGAGATGGCGAATCATCTACATAATTTTCAGGTAATATTATTTTTAAGAATACAGTTATAAAAAAATGTAAATTATTAAACGGATCTAAAAGTATATTCATGTTTTTATTTATAAGTTTTTATCGCTTTTTATCTCTATTCTATACTATTTAAGTATTTTTATGTGATATGACTCCAAATTATTTGCACATTATTCTAGATAATTTAGTAAAGATAAGTTACATAGTTTTCACGTTTACTCTGCTCTGTCAGAGTGCAAACAGTTTACATAACGCTTTTTTAAAGTTGGTTTTTTGAAAGTTTGTTTTAAATTTAAAAAATGTGGCGCGACGAAATGTCTGTACTTGAATTACCTTATAAGTAAGTATATATACTGTATGTCATTATAAGTCTATATGTACGTACATATCGACGATAATTCCGTTATGTAAGACTACTTTGCTTTCTCGTTACGTAATTTCGAGTTTGTAAGCTGATATGAATACACAGTGTATATGTTTCTTTTTAATTTTAAGAGTTTTGAAAGTTATTCTCTCTTTTGCGCTTTCGTCGTTTATTATATCCTCTATTGGTCCTATAAATAAATATCTGTTAGGAGTTGCAATAAAATTTTTGGAGCTTTATTTATTATTGCCGTGTTACTTTTTATCGTGCAAATTATTGCGAAACGCTTTTTACGCTCTCGAGTTTAAACAATATGTTTCAAGATATAATGATGCATTTTTTTGTATATGTATATACAAACTTATGGGTGAAATTATACCGCCAAATATTGGTTTTACATAGTATTAGAAGATATTAGAATTAAAAAGTAAAATATTTTCTAATATCGTGCAAAATGTTTATTTCAACAGATAGATAAATGTTTTTTATCTTCAATAATAAGATAAAGATGAACAACTGTTAAGAATAAATTAGAAGGAAATTTATGCTTGCTTGAATATTATAATACATAATGATATATATATAAGAAAAATCATTTTCCTTTACCTTAAAGAAATATATAAGCAAGAGTGTTGCTAGAAATTAGATACATCCAGCGATTTTTTTTTTAAATATAAAGAGAAATAAATTTTTCACTCTATCGGTCTCTCCCTATGTTAATTTTTCTTTCGCCGGGTTAAGGATCCGTTTCCGCGTTTTTCATGCATACGGCCATGGGATCTCGATCTATCGCGATGAATGCGCATGCGTCGACGATGATGTCATCGTCGTTTGCGTCGTTTTCCACACAGAAACACGTTTCTCGCGGGTGTACGATCGCTTGTCTAAATAATAATGTTGCGCCCGTGTCAAAACACGCAACTAAACTCAAATGCTCCGTTCTCGGTCGTACACACTATATAATACCACGTGCATTAATTTTCTATGCATACATATTATGACTGCACCTTATCTTCGGAGAGTTTGCGCATCATTCTCTCTTTTTTTTCTCTCTTTCTCTCTCTCTCTCGTTTTTATTTTTAGACTTACATTGGACTTTAGCTTAACGAGGTGTATTCAAGGCACGCTGCCTATTTTAACAATTACACAACACTATACTTGCACGCATTTACGAATTGTTTATGCGAAGACCGAGGAATTGAAAAAAAAACTCGGGTCTTCTCTTCGTTACGGCATCTGCACGTGCTCATAAATAATCATTACGCGAATTATTTTGTTAATTAAAGAGATATTAAATTATGATCAATGTATATTTTAGTATAAAGAAACAAATAATGTGAAAGAAGAGTATAAAAATGAATGCAAAAATTAACTCGACGTTATTTTAAACAGAAGTTTAAAGAATTCTTATCTACACGCGTCAATAAAAAAAAAAATATATTCCCAATGTGTATCATGAATTATTGTAGGACCTTCGAAATATATCTGTGTGACACAAAAATATACTAAATACTTACGGATAAATATTTATACAGATATCGAAGAAAAATGTTGACACATGTATAATACGTACGCAATGATAAATCAAAAGCGTTCTTTCTCTTACTCTCATTAATCTTACAACAAACTTCAGTTGTGCAGTATCCGATAGATTGAGGTGAAGAAACAGAAATCATACGAGACTGATATATTTTTCTTTTTTTTTTTTTTTTTTCATGGCTTTTCTCAAAGCGAGGCATTGTAAATGAAGGAAATAATACGCGTTAGGTTATCAACAACTATGAGCTATTAAAAGAAACATGCGTGAGAGAGAAACAAGTGTATCCTCGATGAAGTTTCGCGCGAACAATTCAATCATTATTATTGAATCTCGCGTTTTTGCATCATATAGTACGTAAATCTGCGAGAATTCAAATGAATTCTTACGAAAGCACGAATGATAATCGATCTCTCTCTCTCTCTCTCTTTAATTCTTACTGGTTATTACTTACATTGACGTTTGAGAATCGACGTCATAGATAGTCTACCATATAATAAATGACTTATTTCCGCTGATGTTTCTTATTCTCTCCGATACGATCGCATCCTGTTTTCCGTCTCTGTTTTTCCACAGCTCTGTTTTAATATTAATTTTATTCCTATTTCTCTAAATCTAGACTTACGTCAAATTTTTACGTCAGCTACTCGATCGAATCCTGGTCGTATATAAAATAGAGACGCAGCTTGCTTCTTCCCTCCAGCTTTTAATCTTCTGCTTCCTCTGTTCGAATTGAACGAGTCATCACGAAACCACTTCCGAGGAAGGCCGACTAGTTTGATTTACATTCAGAGAGGTTGAGACGTCAATCTTAAGCTAAATTACAATATTCTTACTGGCGAGAGGAATGTTATCAATATACACATAAATGTAAACAGATAGCGCACAATTAGAGATTAAAAAGTCAACAACGTCATAAACGACGATACTAGACAGTATATAATATGTATATATATATATATATATATTTGTTCTGAATAAGATTGAAAAAATAATGATATGTACATGAATTATTGAATATAGTTACGTATATATGCGAAGTAATTACATATGAAGGGAAAATGTGTGTCAATTCTACGCTAAAAATGAATGAAGAACTTCAGAAGAACAGAGGACTTGCAGATGTATGATTATTAAAATCTTTGAATAGATTATGAATTAATTTAATCACTATTTTTTAGCAATTTTAGAAGATAAAAAATAAACGGTAAAGTTACATTCTATTAATCAATTTTATTTTAATTTTTAAACGTAGTTACAAAAATATACATATGCTAAAATTAAAAGGAAAATGAAAAATCCTTAAAAAATATCTTGTATATTTTAATATAAATCATCTGTAATTAATAGAAACTTTTAATAAATCGGTCAGATATACGGCTAAAATAATCAGAAGAAAAATTGAATTAAACGAATGATGTTTATAGACAAATAGATATAGCTACTTTTTATTGGATTAGATATAAAATTGAAATTTATATCATACATATAAGATTACTAATACTAATAATAATGTATGTTTTATATATAAATATGTATTTATTGAATATAATACATACATGAATTATAAAAAAAAAAATATATATATATATTTCGCATTCGTTTCTTCGCGTGAAATTATAATAATGTAATAAACGCATCCCTATGTTTAGCGATAAAAACCGTATGAGAAAAAAAATTATAAATCCGCCTACGATAAATTTATCGGAATTGTACCGATTTATAAAGCAGAGCACGATTTATAACACAAAGCGCGAACGAGGGAAATCGGACCACCAGTCGATTCGCATATGCAGATGATGCGGGAACACATACGATAAGAATATCCGTCTCTCTCTCGTCGCGAATAAAGGAGGTCGCCAAGTGCTCAAAGCATCGGAGACACCTCGAGCCCAGATAACGACACGATTCGTGTTTCGCGATTTAAATCCGAAGTTGAATGCGCGTTTCGCGCGAAACTTATCTAGATATCTCAATTAATTTCCGAATTAAAAGTTTCTAATTAGATTGTAAAATGTCTAACACGTATCCGCTCTTGAAAAATGCAACTTGTCGCTCTGAATATTTTGCATTCATTAAATTGACGATAAAACACTGTCGGAATTTGTGCTATTATATATTTTTTTCTTTTTCGGAGATTGTTTTTGTCATCAAATATTCAATAATGGAATGTCAAATCATTTAGACGAACATTTATGTATCGAAGATAAAAATCTATCGAATAAGTTTGTTCATTAATGGCCGATGTAAAAGAATAACGTGCAGATATTGATTTGAATATGTTTACCGTGAATAATTATTAGAATAACGTGATGTCGCGAGACATAATTTTTTTTAAAATGTCACCTTACGCAACGATCTTATTTTTGCAATGGAAAGGTGCACCGTGACGTCAATATATGTATACATATTACTTACGCGAAATCGCGAGGCCGGACGGCGTCTAGCCGCGAATAATCGACGATACGTTCGAATCTGCAATTAGCATGCAATTTCCTTGCTAAACATTTATTCTCGTGATGTAAACAGGTTTAAATACCCCGATACGATCGGTCAATATAAGTTTACACGCCACGTCGCGTTATAATTTATCTTATATATTATACATATAAAACCTGTTTTAGATGTTTTGGACCTGTCGTGTTGTTTTCATTATCGTAGCCTTTTTTGTAGAATTTCGCGCAAAACACAAAATATAGTATTTAATTAACTTATTATAATTTACACTCTTAATAAAAAATTAAAATATTGTAATATAAATAATATAAAAATAAAACATTTTAAGAATTTAAAAAATTTAAATATTATCTAAAATTTATATCCATATAAAAGAACACGTTTAATTTTTGTTTCTTAAATGCCATAAAAAATTTGGTTTCTTTTTTGCATATATTCCGCTTAATTACACAAAGACTAATAAGTGTTCAAATAAAATACCTTGTCTTCCATAAAGTGCGAAGGTGTAATAAAGTAAAAAAAAATCGTTTTTCTTTTATATTAACGAGTGTCTTTGTTTTCGCAAAATACACTGAATTACATTGTTTTACTAATATTCGTTTTATTAATCTCTCGATTCAGATTATGTGAGTGATATTTGCGTTCAGAACTATCTCACAAAACGATTCTTTTCTAACTTACTTGAGCACGGTTGCATAATGGCGGCGCTATTTTTGTTCGAAAAGCATATAAAAACGTGGAATGCATAAAATCGCTTCTTGTCTATGCAATCTTTGTGCTAAACAAAATAATGCACATTTAAATCGAGCCGTTTACGATCTACAAAAGACTGCATGCATTTTCAATAAGGCTCATGTATTTTGTGTGATTTAATGAAAGTAGATAAAACGTTCAACATGCAAGTTTCAGCAAAAATACACAAATATTATCGCAAAAACTTGTAGCATCAGCATAAGATAACAAATTTATATTATACAATCCAACAACAGAAAAAGATTTTAAAAAAATAAATAATTATGCAGCAACTTTGCTCCGATTTTTTCTCGCTTATCTTCCTTTAAAGGGGCCAGAGGAGATTTGATTAAAAATAAAATCTCGAGATTAGAGATTTATTTAATTTCTTGGAGAATCAAGAGAAATTAGTGCCCTGTGCATAATCAATCAATTTCAACGAAAAATATTAATTCTTCCTTGTAATTAATGCACTAACATCAGCTTTTAGGTCTTACTCGCTCGTTAAATTTAAATGTAAAAATATTTATTTCTGATATAAGATTTAGGCCTCGAAAATATTTTCTATTATGTCGTAAGAAACTTTGATAATCTTGAAGATAAAAATTGTAAAAAAATTAAGTTTAACTTCTTCTCAAAGCTTACATAATCGTCATGAAAGATATCGTACACAGTGATCGCACAAATTGTTGATTTTATCACAAATGACAGATATGTATAACTGCAGATTTCCACAAATGTTTACATTTTTCGCAATCCATCAATTATTTTCGCAGGAAGTATTTTCTAACCTTGTCCCTCTCTCTCTCTCTCTCTTAATATTTAATTTGTCAATGAAATCTCGTATTAAAAAGGCAAACAAAAGTGACATTATTTAATTAAAATACTTGTTAAATTAAATAATTATACAATTAAAATATATTTATATAATATAATCAATGCTGTTTGTCCCTGAGCTTTTATTACTCCATTTCCTGAATTTTATTATTAATATAAGATATATTTTTTAAATAAATAAGAAAAGTTATAAAATATTATATTATATAACATAAAATTATTTTATTATCATATAATTGTATACATACATGTGTGTTATTATTATCCCTTTTTTATATCAAATATTAATTAATAAGATAATTTGGATGTACACATATATATATATATATATATATTGTATATAGTATATGATCTCGAACCTCTTGTGTAAACCTGTATATTATATATATAAACTATATTGCAAGAAAATTATTAAATCTACATAGCTGTGAATTTTTTCACTGCCAGACTTAATTAAAGTAAGTTTAAGATATACATATTCGGAAAATTGCGAGAATAATCTCCGCATTTGTTATTACGAAAATATCGTTCAGCAAGGGATAATTCCCTTAGAAATTCCAAATATAAGACAACGCATTCCTACGATACAAAATTAATAAAACAATTAAAACGAACAACATTTTGGTTATTTTGTTGAGCCAATCCATCCTGAAAAACATAGATTAAGAATATTACACATCGTTTCCTTCCCTTTTCATTAGTATATCAATTTAATCAGTTAGTAAAGTTTGCAAAGCAAAGCCAAGAATTTCAGAAAAAATAGTTATTTAATTATGTTTGTTTCAAAAGAGAGCAAATCAAGTTAATCAAGCATTTCTAGAAAAAATATTGACTTGAATTCGTCAAACTTGGAAATCCCAAGGGCAGGAAAGGTCAAGATAAATGTTTCATAAGACGAAAAATATCGATCGCGATTACAGTAATTACGATTAGCTAATGTAAATTTGTGCTATATGTTACAAGGAAAATTAACGAAGTTAATAAATGGTTAAATCAGCGATTGATGAATACTGGTGATAATAGACGGACAGTATTAAAACAGTGATAAGCAGCGTCTTGAAGTATAATTTATTACATATTGCTATTTTGTTGATGATCTGTGAACTATTTAAGTTTTGTTAGGCGAGCAATGAAATTGTAGTGTCTTTGTTAGTCTGCTTATGTGAAAATGTTGGATTTGCGCAAATTCAAATGCGTGATGTAAATTTAAGTGCAAATGCGTAATCATCGATAAATGTTTTCCGACTCTTAGTAATATAAACGTGCAAATACATGTGAATTCTTACAATTAGCAATGCAAATATTTAATTATATATATATATATATATATATATATATATCAAGGACATCACGCTAGAGTGCAGCAGCACGTAGAATTTACGTCAGTTATATATGGATGTAATTATTTTGGTATATATGTGTGTACATAATTGTGCAATAATTGATAAATATAGCCGTGTAAATTTTCTCATTTAATATAGCTAAAGAATAAATTAAACTTGAAGACGGTGTATAAGAAATTTGAAGCTTGATAAATGATGATAGCTAGAACATAGAAAAAATTCTCTGGAAAAGAAGAGTATAAGATAAATTATAATATTATTAGAAAAGTAACAATACTTTTTCATCAATCATTTGTGTTTGATGACAATCGAATGTGAGAAATCGTTGCATAAAATAATTGAGACTATTGCTTCAAATACTACAAATAATTGCAGAAATACTCGCTATTTTAACATAGCACATTTAAAATAACAAAAAGATTAAAAAATTAAAATAAATATTCTATAGATGATACACTTTTTAGGTCCCTATTTATGTATTTATTTATTTATTTTTTTAATTAATAACCATTTTTCTGGAGATCAAATTAAAAAAAATTCGTAACATATTTGAAGCTTTTCACACTGCAAATCCGGTCAAGTAAATTAAATACTCCAATTGCGATTACATGCGTGAAAGAAAGACGCAAAAAATCCGAGAAACGCACATCTGGTTCTTCTTCGAAAACCTAAAATTAACAGAGTGTCTAAAAGTAGTTCGAACCGGCGCAACAATCCGCGAAAAATTTTCACTGCGCGTTCCCACGTTGCCGACCTAATTTTCAAACTATAGGACTTCAATCGATCGACCAAACAATCGTACAGGTAACTTCGCGACGTCGCGTTTCCGCGTTAACGTTATCTCCGATTTTTTATCTCTCTCTCTCTCTCTGTTTTGTTCTCTGATTAATTTTTAGAATCACAATAGAGGCTGTGTAAAATTATATATCTTTCGATCTCGCAAAAATGATATAATGATATCTTTTCGTGTGTTTCTAAGTACGTACATATGTATCTGTGACGCGAGTTTTGCAACGAGATATACATATCATCATCGATAAAATCGATCATTTGTTAAAGACAGATATTTTTTTAAGAACAAGCAAGCTCGAAATGAGCGAAAGGAAAATATGCAGTTCTGCAACCGAAATCCGTTCTCCATTTCATTAAGTGCATGTTACCTCTTTCGATGCAGTTTCGCTGCTTCCAGGTGATTCATATCCTCATTCAGTAAGTAAATTTTTGCACCGATTACGCTGTTTCGAAAGTAATGCACTATATTGAAATTTCTGTAGTCAAATCCGAAGTCTTTATTATTCTCGGGTGACAGATCATCGAAGAAATGTTGTAATTTCCTATTCGTAAATTGCCATTCATGCGTCAAAAAAAATGCTAGAGCACTGTTTGCGCAATAGACCTTCCTCTGCAATTTTAATAGCCTAAAAGAAAAGAGAACTTTGCTAAATATTTTTTTTTTACATTTACATATACTTAAAGATTTTACTTCTTGTTATAAAATAAATAAATAAGATATATATGTATATACAATGTTCATAAACTTTTTCTAATCTATAAAATAAAGCTTACATGGGACGTGCACGGAACAATTTTAGGATTGAGTCTATGAAAAGTGCAGGCAAGATATGCATAATAAGTACAACTAAATAGTAAAACAAACGGCTATTAGTTGTAGTTATGCCTGGGGACCAAATAATATTGTCCAAAGGTACTTCTTCAGCGAGTTTAAATCCCAGTTCAATCAGATGCTTCATGTTTATCCCTTTTACATCATGTCCCGAACAGTTATAAACATGAATTGTATTGTCTTCGGTGAAGCTGAATAAAAAAATAATGTCACTAATGTAATATCAGTGTGATAGATATAGACAAAATAATGTAAACACCTGTGAAAAATATTTGTTTATTAATAAGATGTTGGCTACCATTTGCCATTAATTCTTGGAATTCTTAGAAGAGAACATATTTTATTTGAATAGTCTCTATTAAAATGTTGTTCCATTCTTTTATCTGCCTTTAAAGTTTCTCTTTTTCAAAATTGCCTACAATCTGATGATATTGAATTATTCTGATGATATTAAATTATTAAGAAAAATTGAAGCTGTATTAAAGACAAATTGTGGTTCAACATCTTATTAATAAACAAATGTAGTGTATTTTTCACAGATGTTCACATTATTTTGTCTGACCTCTGTATATTTACTTAGAGCTTTAGAAAATAACAAGATTGATAGACGATTTTATTATGTGTAAAGCACATATATGCATACGTTTTGATTCCACGTTTCCACGCCACTATTAACATTGTCTTAATGGCCACGTCAACAGGCATAAAATCCGATGTAACGATAGGATCGATAAACACAACACGAAGAATACCTTTGCCGCCGCCAACCAACATTCCAACAGGACCGTTAAAATTGTCTAGCCAGCCTTTTACTGGATCAAATGCCGTAGAGATAACTGAAGAAAGAAAAATCCTATATAATCCATCATTATTTTATCTATTTTTATATCGTTTCTTGGCAGAATAATTTTATTATTCAACTATAATTTTTTATTTTAATTGTGACACTGTAGCCAGCCTTTTACTGGATCAAATGCTGTAGAAATGACTAAAGAAAGAAAAAATCCTATATAATTCATCATTATTTTATCTATTTTTATATCGTTTCTTGGCAGAATAATTATTTATTTTAATTGTGACACCTAAATATTACAATCATCTGCTTTGTATACTCTTTTAAACAGATTCCTTTGAAAAATTCAAATTCTAATTTTGATTCCAAAACCATCGTGAAAGTATTACGTGCCTATGGATGGGCGAACGATGACGCAAGGCAATGACTTTGAATAGTCGCTTACAACTTGCTCCGCCAATCTTTTTGTGAAAGTATACGTGTTTGGCATCGTTCCCAGATATCTAAAAGTGAACGTGAACGTATTTTAAGAGACAAAATGGACGCTATGCGGTGTTCATTAACTTACTTTGCTGTAAACGTTTTCAAAATATGCTCGTCAAAATGTTCGGCGACGTTAATCACTTCTCTCCAATCCAAATCTGATGGATAAAGTGTCTCATCAACCACTGGCTTGTCTGTTTGCGTATACGTAGAACTGACGTGTAGGAAAACCTTGAATCATTTACGCACAAATTAAATATTATACAAGAAAAATACATATATAAATTATGAAATTTATTTTTGATAACACATGATAACACATGAAAGATTTTATTACTCGAAATTATATATATATATATATATATATATATATATATAAGTGAAATTAATTTAATCTCATATATTTCACTTATTTGTATAAATACTGCAACAATTTTGATCTTAAAAATTGATAGGTAAAAAATATATATACTACAAGTTTTTTCATTTTTTCTGCTAAAATGCAAATATCCCGCGTTGACCTAGTGTTGTTGAAAACAGCTTCACGTAAACTTTCATCAAATCGAACAGAAGCCGCGACATGAAAAATTATAGACACTCTTTCGATCAACATTTCTCTATCGATCGGTTGCAATCCTAAGCCCTCAAGACTTACATCACCGTGAATTGGAATTAATTTATTAAAAGCAGATGGTCGCTCACTTCGCAAAACGTCAAAAAGCTAAAACAATCGTCAATAATTAGTAATATATTCTATATTGAAATTTTGATTTTACGATTTCAATCATTTTATTTATATTTCATCCCAAGAGGATTTCTTCGTTAGGAGAAAGGGAATTTTTTAAAGCGAAAAATTATAATAAAATAATTCTTTTTAAATAAGAAAGGAAGATGGTCTTCTTTATCACTCTCTTTTTATAAAAATGTATTTTCAACAATTTTTGAAAGCTGCTCTTTAAAGATTATAAACTGCTCATTAGGAATTATATATGTAGTTTTTATAAACTTTTGAATAAAATTTTAAATTTTGTCGCATTTACAAGTTATAACAATTTTTTTATAGATTATTTAACCGTTGCTCAAAAACATATATACATTTTTATTTTTTATAACTTTACCTTGTTATCCAACATTTTTTTCAGTCTTTCGTTTATGTTCAGTCCCTTCTTCGGTCTGATCAAAACAAAAATTTCACCAACATCGGGACAAGATCGCAGTAACTTTTCACATAGCGCTTTGCCTATAAATCCTGTACCGCCCGAAATTAAAATGCTACGACCTGCATAAAATGCAGGTATAAACGTATTTGCTCCACCTTTGTTCATGTCTATAAATGCAACTACTTCCGATAAGACGAATAAAGTATAAAAAGATAATGTGTTTAGTTATAAAACTGTAACAAAAATAGCAAGATTTGATTTAAATGTTAATTTTTAAAATCAAGAAAAACATATAAAGTAAAATTATTTTAAACATAAGCCAAACGATTGAATTTGAAACGAGAGTCGAAGTACTTCGTCTTCGATAAAAGATGAAAACGTGAATGAGCACAATGAATTTTGTGAACAGGAAATGACATAAAAATTATTTAATGGTAATGATATGCCAAAGAAGTTCAAAGGAGCAAGTTCTTCCATATTCATGTGTTTATATATAATCTCTAAAAACTCACCTTTAAAAAAAGGTAAAAAAAGGCGACCAGTTAAGGGCACGCCATTAACAAAAATTATCCATTGCAAACCCATGTACAATAGAATTGTATGAAAAATTATCGATTATAAACCCATGTACAATCGTAACAAAAGTAATAAAATAAAAAAAAAATTGCGCCAAGTGAAAGTAGAAACTTGTACCAGTGGAAAATTAAAGTTGCAGACATATATAGAGTCGTATAATAAATCAATAAAAATTTAAATTTGCAAATGTAGAATTGTACCATAAAAAAACTTATCTTTTAAAAAAAAAGATAAACAAGATGCCAAGTCCATGCGCCATGTGAAAAAGTGTTAAACAAAAAAGTATTTTTAAGTAAAAAAATCTATCAATTGACAAAAATTTATGTTCTAAAATTAATATCTCTACAAAAAGTAATGTCCAATTATTGCGCGAATAAATAAACATTTTTATAAAAAATTAAAATTTAAAAACTTATGCAAATTTAAAATTAATATAAAATAAAAAGAAATAAAAAAATTTTAGTTAAAAAAACTGGGCGCGCTGCTAAATAATATTCTAATGATATTAAAATTAAATTGTTACTTTTAAACTCATTGCAGCGCGCCCAGTTTTTTTAACTAAAATTTTTTTATTTCTTTTTATTTTATATTAATTTTAAATTTGCATAAGTTTTTAAATTTTAATTTTTTATAAAAATGTTTATTTATTCGCGCAATAATTGGACATTACTTTTTGTAGAGATATTAATTTTAGAACATAAATTTTTGTCAATTGATAGATTTTTTTACTTAAAAATACTTTTTTGTTTAACACTTTTTCACATGGCGCATGGACTTGGCATCTTGTTTATCTTTTTTTTAAAAGATAAGTTTTTTTATGGTACAATTCTACATTTGCAAATTTAAATTTTTATTGATTCATTATACGACTCTATATATGTCTGCAACTTTAATTTTCCACTGGTACAAGTTTCTACTTTCACTTGGCGCAATTTTTTTTTTATTTCATTACTTTTGTTACGATTGTACATGGGTTTATAATCGATAATTTTTCATACAATTCTATTGTACATGGGTTTGCAATGGATAATTTTTGTTAATGGCGTGCCCTTAACTGGTCGCCTTTTTTTACCTTTTTTTAAAGGTGAGTTTTTAGAGATTATATCATTCATTTTTGTATATGATAAGCATCTTTAAATAAATAAGCAAATTCAATTTTTCTGGCATTTTCTTATTTTAGGTACATATATATCCAATAATTAATATACAAAATTAAATATTATTCATCACACAATTTGTATCAAAATAATATATTTTTAAAAATTTATTTTAAATTTATTTAATCATTTTTATCATTGTGATTGTAGTGGCAAGGATTTTATTGCTCAGTGTCATTGCAAGCATCTGGCCTGTATATACCATAATATATTGTGTAATACATTGGCTAAGTATGACAATATGGATTTTGATAGATTCCCATGGAATATTGGAATTTTGTCGGACTTGCAGTCATCCACCACATATGCAGCCTACAATTAAAGAACGCATTTATTCCATATTATTTGCTTCCGTTATTGGCATAGTGCACATTTTTATATATCTCAATGCTGTAGATAGCAAAACATTTTGAAAACATCTATCTTTCTATGTTATCTGCTTTTTTGAAAATATTGCAGCAAATTTATTATGGCAATATGCTTGTCCTCCTGCAGTTAAAGAGGCTTAGTACTTTAATATAATCTTTATTATTTGTATCATTTCCTTTTTCTTGGGAATTACAGCAATGCTTTTGTACTATATTGTCTTGCATCCCTCAAAAAGACAACATACTTCAAACGCACCAGTTCAAGCAATGTAACTTTGATATTTATTTACTTTAAAAAATGAGAGATAAACTATACAATATGCAATTAACCTTATCTTATGACTTTTATAAATCTTATGATAAAATCTAACTCTCTCTTAATCTTTATTATGAAAAGAATCTCGGTATTATATGAAATAATTTCATTGTAATTAATAGTTTAACTTTCAAAAATTTTGCAAAATAAAATAACTCATACATTGTATTTCTACCATATATATAAAAAAAAGATAGGTAAATATAAATAAATAAATATATATTTATGATATACAATAAATATATATATATATATATATATATATATATATATATATATATATATATAAAATGTTGGATTTTTATTATATATATATAATTTTAAAAAATCTTTTTTATATGCTATTGAATTTTAATACATACAATTTTGATTATATGTATTTTAATTGATTATATTTATAAGTATTTTTATATTATCTTAAAAAGACTGCATAGAATTATTTGTGCGACACTCTTATATGTATGTATAATTAATAGGGACCAACTACACATTTTTTTTTCCACTGAATAAAAACAATCTCAATATTAAAATTAAATTATAAAAAAGATACTGTGATATTTTATTGATGAGAAATGTACATTTATAATTGTATTAAATACAAAAATAAACATGCCATGAATTACTATATATACATATTTTCATAATTATCAAACTTAAAAATATAATATTGTTACCAAAGAAGAAAGCACTATTTAAAAACTCTAAAAGTTCATAATTTGTTAAATTAGTAATTAAATACTGCATTTTGTATAATTTTTAAGCTTTATTCTTTTATTTTTCTTTATTTAATTGAATAGATATTAACATCCAATGTAGCATACAGATTAAATTAACAACCAAAAAAATAAATCTTAACTTTGAAATATATTTTTGTTTCTTTTAAATATCAATCAACTGGATTTTGTACTACTATTAATATGAATTCTTTATCTGGTGCCATCATAATTTTATGTTTTTTGCTACGTATGCGCAAGAAAGTTAAATCATTTGTTGGATTCAAGTCACGTACGACAGAACGAGCTTTATCTGACAATTGACTTATCAAACCTGCGTATTGAACTGTTGTCGTATTATCTAATGTTGACTTTATAGGAATACCTAAAACAAATATAATTTTATAAATTTTTGTTTACAACTACAAGTAAATCATGTCAATGATCTCATGTAATACCTTCTGCATTCACCACTATTGTTCCAACTACCCTTTTATGAGACTGAATTTGTTTCATAGTTTCTTCAACCTCTTATAAATTATTTCATCGAAATTTATTAATAAAATTTTTATTTTAAATATTCCAATAACGGAAGCAAATCATATGGAATAAATGCGTTCTTTAATTGTAGGCTGCATATGTGGTGGATGACTGTAAGTCCGACAAAATTCCAATATTCCATGGGAATCTATCAAAATCTATATTGTCATACTTAGCCAATGTATTACACAATATATTATGGTATATACAGGCCAGATGCTTGCAATGACACTGAGCAATAAGATCCTTGCCACTACAATCACAATGATAAAAATGATTAAATAAATTTAAAATAAATTTAAAAAAATATATTATTTTGATACAAAGTGTGTGATGAATAATATTTAATTTTGTATATTAATTATTGGATATATATGTACCTGCAATAAGAAAATGCCAGAAAAATTGTAAAATAGTTCCTATAGCACTGATATTAGATTTATCTTGTTAAGCTAATCGAATGCTGCGATGATAACTAGCCATTGCCCAACCCATGCTCACAAGTGAGCTGATAATGCTACCTGCTTGATGTACAACTGAAAAAAATATAGAAGCTAATTAAGAAAATTATTAAAAATATATGCATACTCATACATAGGCATTTATATAATTGAAATATTATTGAAATAATAGCAAAATATCTGATTTTGTATCACAGACTGTAAACTTGCACATAAATTATTATGACAATAAATTTGCAAATAATAACATTAAAATTGAATGTAAAAATTGAAATTGAAAATTGAAATTGAAAATATCTAACCCCGCACGCTGTCAATATAGCGGAGGGCAACTATCGCCGTCTGTTGTAAAACGTGCGAGATGGACATTTCCAATACATGCATCTATTCATGTGTTGTGTACGTGTGATATATGTGTGCGCATGTGTTGTATACGTGTGAATACGTGTAGCACGATACTACTATGTTTGCGTGGTCGATGATGATAATGATGACGGGGACGTTTCTTAAAAGAAATTTTTCATATTTCGACTTTGCAATTATATATCTCTGCTTACAAATCACGTAGAGCAGAAATAAAGACACTTTTATTATATAATTCAAACTCAATCTATCGATTAAGTCTAGTATAAACTCGATTGTTTCAGCCGTTATTGAGAATTCGAAATATTATAAAGACTCAAATGTCCGACTCGCGTTAAGATACACGGTGTCTCGGCTACGCCCTTAACTGGTCGCGAGACACTACCGTGTCTCTTGATATATATGTGTGTGTATAAATATATATCTATATATAAGTACCGTCCGTCTGTCTGTATGTACGCGAACTACTTCCGCATTTGTAAACCGATTTTCGTGAAACTGGTACCAAAATGTTGCAAATTTTTTGAGGATGGTTGCTGTAGGTTTTTTTTAAATTTTTGAATTTTAATTTTTTTTTCTTAGAGGAGAAAACGATATAAAAATAGATAAAATAATGATGAATTATATAGGATTTTTCTTTCTTTAGTCATTTCTACAGCATTTGATCCAGTAAAAGGCTGGCTACAGTGTCACAATTAAAATAAAAAATTATAGTTAAATAATAAAATTATTCTGCCAAGAAACGATATAGAAATATATAAAATTTTTGCGAAAAATATTTTTTTTTTTCAAATTTCTACGCCAATGTGTTCAGAAATATTGCAAAAAAAAATTTTTTTAAGTTTAATGATTTTTTTTATACCTTCACTTACCCACTCACGCGCCACTCACGCACTTTCACATTAATGGATCAATTCTCTAGAAATTATTAATTAGGTAGTATTAAATTTTTTTGAGAAGCCTGCTATTTTCTTTAATTAAATTTTACATTCACTCATGCATCTACCCATGCGCGCGCGTATTTATGGATTGATTTGCACGAAATCGGGACCAAAATTTTATGAGAATGGACCTATTTTCATTAAATTGGTATCAAAATGTTGTAATTTTTTGGGGATGGCGAGAATTTGGTTTTTTTGTTCTACAATCCCATTAACCCACCCACGCATTCTATCCACTGTAGATATGAAAAAGAAACATATTTATATTTTTAATAAAATCATCTTTTGGTAGTGGCGTGATTGTTAATCATTGACATTATTAGATAAGAGCGTTTATTAATATATTGTTTCTTTTCAATCCTACAATTTTTTAAATTACTTTTAGTGAGTTTTTATAAAAATCACCCCTTAGGTGGTGATATGAGTTCTTTTAACATGTTATTTTATAAATGACTATCTATATATTGTATATAAGTAGCTGGTTTCATATATTAAATGTCATCATTGATTAAACAAATATAAATCAATTTAAAAATACAATTATAGAAAAAAATAATATACCAAAAGAAATAAAAAAAGAAATTGAAGAATTTCAAAATGGTAAATATAAACAATTTATTTATTTAAATAAAATAATATTTTTTATTTATAAATTTGTTAATCGTTTTATTTATATTATATTATCATATATAATATATAACCTTATATATTTTTAATTAAAAAATTTCGGTACTTAAAGATGATCAAATAAATATAAATCAATTTGAAAATACAATTATCGAAGAAAATAATATTTAGGGAATATAGAATATGTTATAAAAATAGGAAATAGGAACAAAGGAAATAGAAAATGTTATAATAAATAAAGCAAATGGATTTGAAATTAAAAGTATATAATACATTGATAAATACATTTAATATATCTACAGAAATTGAAGAAAGGTTTTGAGGACCACGCGAAGCGCGATCCGAAACGCTAGTATATATATATATATCATGTGAGTTACGTAATTAGTTTCATAGATGAATGCAACATGTTGTAATATCAACATGTGTAATTACAAATCTTTTTCCATCTTCTGCATTTCTCTTTATTTATTATAATAAATTATTTCATCAATCAAAATTAATATTGGACGCTAGTGGTGAAAATACTTTCACGACGTTTTGACCATTTGGTTGTGGTCCTTATCAAGTGAGAATTCCATCAATTAAAATGAGATTAACGCAACATAAAACCGATCTTATTTAAAATTAATAGTTAAAAGAGGAACACGTCCCATCGCTATGATGTTTCGTCAACGTCGTGAAAGTATTGAATAAAATTGCTAGTTACGTCGAAATCAATTTTGCCAAGTTTAATTTATTTTATATTATACATCAAATAATATATATTACACTATAGTTGTTTGTGACGATGTTGATCAGTTTGCGATCTGAGAATATTTAACAATCAGTGTCGGTTCACTTATATATCATCCATATTATTCCAATAACGATGATAGTTTTAAATGCCGTAGCAAACAAATCTAATCTAAAATATTTGTAAAATAAACACATTATTTTTTTTAATTTTTCATAATATTTATCCAACAACAAATTATTTTAATTATATTTTTATTTCATATGCATATAAATTCTTTATTAATAATAAATTATTATTAATAATCTTTTAATTTTTTGAAAATTTTCTCTCCCCCTATTATTTAAAATTCTATTATTATATGTAATATTAATAACTATATATATAGTACAATCTATATGTATTATTTAAAATCAAATTTAAAAAGTATTTAAAATTAAATTTCTTTTTTTAAATAAGATTCGAAGCGCTATTATATTTTTATTTAATAATAATACGATAACAATCGCAATCTTCAAATCTTTATTATTGTCATTGAATAATTAATTTTAATTTGTCTTGCATCTCATAAACAATAGTAATATTTTTATAAAATACATTCTTTACACTCACCGTCTGCGATACGCTTTAGCTACATCTAAGCGATTCATGTCCTCGTAAAAGAGATATTTTTTAGCTCCAATTATACCGGCCCTTTATTTCGTAAAATAAATATCTAATGACTTAACATCATCTTCGATGTAAACATTGCTTAAAAAGTTAAAATAAAAAATATTTACCTGTAAAATTCTTTAACATCAATATTTAAAATATCACATGAGAATGCTTCTTTGTCTTCGGGTAGAACTGAATCGAATAAATCTATACCATTGTTATTTTTAAATATCCATTGATGATCCGCAAAATATCCCACAGCGCAGCAGGCCGTGTATACTTTTCTTTGCAGTGTTAATAGCCTACATTGCGTATACATTTATAAAACAATTTATGCAAATGATGTAATGTCAGCTATACTATTGAATCGGGAAATATAGAAAGTTTCGTAAAAAAATGTTTAAAAGAAATATTTAATTTTATACAAATTGCGTTAAAAAATATATCTTTACTAAGTTTTGCCTCTGCGCACATGCGTGTACATTGATACTTTGGAAATACATACCCAAATAGCCACAGTAATTATTATGACATCATTTTGATGTCAAAATGCATCATTTGCCATCAAAATACTGTGGCTATCTGGGTATATATATATATATATATATATATATATATATATATATATGTCTATATTTATGACAAAAAAAATAATTTTTGCATTAAAAATAAATTTTATTTTAGATAGTATGGTTTTTACTCATTTGTTCTGTCTCCTTTTCTCTTTCTCTCTGTCTCTCTTCTTCTAATCTTCCCGATTCAATTAAACAACTGTATTTAATAGGATATGAATGATCTGTAAATTTGAGAGCAAAATGTTAGTTTGGTACTTACATAGGTTTATGTTTCGTAAGTTTTAAAATCAGATCTATTAAAATAGCTGGCAAAATATGCAACAACATTGTCAATATATAATATATGATGGAATTATTAGTAAATATTACACTGGGAGTCCAAAGAGTTTGCTCGAAGGGTGTCTCATCTAAAAGTTGAAAACCCATTTTACAAATTGGTTCTATGGACAATCCTCTCAGATTGGAAGAAGTACAATTTATGATAAAAGGTGAAGAACCCGGCTTGAAGCTAATAAATAAATAAAATTATAAATTCAATTAAAAAATTGTTATTTATACAAAATTATATATAAAAACATTAGAGTGCATTAGGGTGCAATATTATTAGTATTTTTGAAAAATTTAGAAGTTTGTGCGAGTTACGAAATATTATTATAAAGTCTTAAACATTCAAAATTAATAAATTTTAATAAATCAATTTCAAAATTGTCAATTTAATTATGAAAGCTTTTGAGTAAAATGCGTATGATTTCGCTGAAATGTTGATTTAGTTTTAAAATAAAAGGAGAAACTTTTTTTTCATATTTGTAGCATGCACTTAATGCAGTTAAATATATAATACTTTATATGTATTTTTATTATATGAGTATTTAGTATTTTGAGATAATAATCGTACCTGGTCAATCCAACCTTCCAAACTGTGATTATCAAACATTTGATGGCAACATCTACCGACATCACATCTGGACGAAGATGTTTATTAGTCTTGAATACTCGTAGTACTCCTTTACCACCACCGACGAGTATTCCTACTATACCATTCAAATTATCTATCCATCCTGGGAATGGATCGTTCAATGTATGTGACACTAAAATATGAATCATACTTGTTAAATACGTATTGCTACATTATTGTTTATTCTAGTAATCTATCAAGGTATTTTTTTATTTTTTGTATTGTGAAACGAAATTTACTTAGTTATTTCCAATAACAGTAGAGTAAACGTTTTGTAATAATTATGTATCATATGAGAATATGTGGAATGGTCTTCTAATATAAACACTTTATTTTAAAATACACATACATTTTTATATTTTATTAAGAGATATTCTTTTTGATATGTCAAATTGTAAATCGCATTCCAAAAGAGAAAAGTAAATATTTATTTTTAACATCTTAAAAAAAAAAAAAAATAACATACCTATAGAAGGTCTTACAATCGCACAAGGTAACGATGAAGAATAATCCGCTATTACACTCTCAGCTAAATTTTTCGAGAATATGTATGTGTTGGGAAAACATTCCAAACATCTGTACATAATATTTCAAAATTATATGAAAAATTAATAGCCTTAGAATATCATATTATACTTAAAATTTTAACTATATATATTGTACATATATTTGTGCATATATTACATATGCACTTACGCGGTTTTATGCATATATTAAAAGTATTATTATAAAAAACGTGTATCACAGTTATAAATTATTAATAAAATAATAACAATAAATATAATAATATATAAATAAAAATTATTTGAAATTTATAAATGTTATATTGATTTTATATACATATAGTTTGTCATACTTAGCTGTAAAGACATTTAAAATATGCTCATCCAATGACTCGGCTGCTTTGATCATTTTCCGCCAATCGGCTACTGGTGGGTATATTTTTTCTTCTATGACAGAATTATTTATATGCGCGTATGCTGTACTAACATAAACTAGTGCCTTTAATAAATAAATACGTTTTAATAGTAAAGTTACATGTTTTTTAAAATAATGAAGACTTAAATGAACTTAATTGCAATTGGAAGGAAATCATATTTATTTTTGTTGTTAAGTGTTTAACTGTAATTCTTTTTACGTAAAAAAAAAATAAAATTATTGTTCGACAAAATTTTCATACTATAATAACAATAGTTTGTAATATTAATTATTATATTATACACATTAAATAATTTATATATTAATAGATACTTAAAAAAACACTAAATACGCCATTTGTCACATTTATACTTACTAGAAGATTTTTCATATCTTGAGCTAAGATACAGATATCTCTTGTCGATCTAGTATTTATAAAAATAGCATACTTTAAGCTGTCATTAAATCTCACACTCGCTGCTGCATGAATTATTACAGTCACTCTTTCAACTAACATTTCTCTATCGGCAGCCGACAGACCCAAGTTCTCTTTACTAACATCACCAAAAAGTGGAATTATTTTTTTTAAATTTGAAGGTTGCTCTTTTCGCAGTTTATCGAATAACTGAAATAAAAATACATGTTATAACGTACTTATATTACAATTGCCATGATTCTTATATCTTCAATAATTTTGCAAAAAAATTGTAGAATATTTTTGTTACTTTTACACTTTATCTTACGTTTTCAAATGTTCTCTCTACTATTACTTATACGTTTTTTAATTAAATTTATCACTTTTATCAAATTGTAAAATTAATTTTTTGTAAAAATAAGAAGCGTCATATGATAACACTCTCAAAAGAACATTTTCATTTAATCGTTAGAATAATTTTTAAAAAATTCAAAAAATTATCTATACTTCTGTAATTGACTTACCGGTAATTTCAATATTTGTCCGAGCCTTTGTTAATGCTTTGTTCTTTTTTTGGGCGCATCAATATAAACACTTCGCGAACATCTGGGCAAGATCGCAGTATCTTCTCCATGCATACTTTACCCATAAATCCTGTCGCACCTGTTAAAATATACTTTGTCCAGCGTAAAACGATGTAATTGACTTGATTGGATTATTTATATTCTCATCCATCGTTATTAAAACAAAATCAATATAAATAATATAATAACAACGTAACTGCCAAAAATAAATACAAGTGCACTCGGAAATTTAATGATCTCTTTTATATTGATTTTTTTACAGCAGGAGTTTGATTAGATGACAAACTGAGCTCAAACTTCAACGACGTACGCTACTTAATTAAAATCATATGCTAGATTATCATTTGCTATATAACGTTTTGTTAAATAGATGTGCATCCAGACATTAATAAAACGGAAACTCTTTAAACCAAGGTTGAAAGAGCAAACTTACATAATGCAGTCTAATGTATGCTTGATCCAGTAGTATAATGACATGCTTTTTTGCAGTTTATTCTACAGTTTTTTTAACGTTATATTACAATTTTTTTTATTTTACATTAGACAACACAAATTAACTTGTGTTGTCCAAATAAAATTTATTTCTTAAACCTTGACATTCTTATGAATAAGAAGGTATATTCCTTTTATTTCTCAACAATGAAATACTCGATAAAAAATTGATATAAATTTGTATTATTATAATTAGTTTATTAATGTTTATACAATAATTATCTAAACTTAATAACAATCTAGATTATATATTTGGTGCAACCGCAATTGTTAAATCAAATTTTTTTTATAAAACAATTAATCCACATTAATATTTATCATATATTATCCACATAATGAGAGTGCCGACCAATATTTTCACAATTCTATCGAGCCATAGCATCCTACAATCATAAAAGAGAATTAAATTATTATTTTGGACCATATATTTATATCAAATCATTAAAATCTCTTTCAGAATAACTCGGCTAATTGAATTTATATTTGAGATAGCTTAGTTTTACTATTATAGTGCTCGAAAAAATAAACAATTTGTTTGTGCAATTTTATATAAAGTTTAATGGATCAAAATTTTCACTGCGCGTTCCTACGTTGCCGACCTAATTTTCAAACTATAGGACTTCAATCGATCGACCAAACAATCGTACAGGTAACTTCGCGACGTCGCGTTTCCGCGTTAACGTTATCTCCGATTTTTTATCTCTCTCTCTCTCTCTGTTTTGTTCTCTGATTAATTTTTAGAATCACAATAGAGGCTGTGTAAAATTATATATCTTTCGATCTCGCAAAAATGATATAATGATATCTTTTCGTGTGTTTCTAAGTACGTACATATGTATCTGTGACGCGAGTTTTGCAACGAGATATGCATACCATCGTCGATAAAATCGATCATTTGTTAAAGACAGATATTTTTTTAAGACCAAGCAAGCTCGAAATGAGCGAAAGGAAAATATGCAGTTCTGCGACCGAAATCCGTTCTCCATTTCATTAAGTGCATGTTACCTCTTTCGATGCAGTTTCGCTGCTTCCAGGTGATTCATATCCTCATTCAGTAAGTAAATTTTTGCACCGATTACGCTGTTTCGAAAGTAATGCACTATATTGAAATTTCTGTAGTCAAATCCGAAGTCTTTATTATTCTCGGGTGACAGATCATCGAAGAAATGTTGTAATTTCCTATTCGTAAATTGCCATTCATGCGTCAAAAAAAATGCTAGAGCACTGTTTGCGCAATAGACCTTCCTCTGCAATTTTAATAGCCTAAAAGAAAAGAGAACTTTGCTAAATATTTTTTTTTTACATTTACATATACTTAAAGATTTTACTTCTTGTTATAAAATAAATAAATAAGATATATATGTATATACAATGTTCATAAACTTTTCCTAATCTATAAAATAAAGCTTACATGGGACGTGCACGGAACAATTTTAGGATTGAGTCTATGAAAAGTGCAGGCAAGATATGCATAATAAGTACAACTAAATAGTAAAACAAACGGCTATTAGTTGTAGTTATGCCTGGGGACCAAATAATGTTTTCCAAAGGTACTTCTTCAGCGAGTTTAAATTCCAGTTCAATCAGATGCTTTATGTTTATCCCTTTTACATCATGTCCCGAACAGTTATAAACATGAATCGTATTGTCTTCGGTAAAGCTGAATAAAAAAATAATGTCATTAATGTAATATCAGTGTGATAGATATAGACAAAATAATGTAAACACCTGTGAAAAATATTTGTTTATTAATAAGATGTTGGCTACCATTTGCCATTAATTCTTGGAATTCTTGGAAGAGAACATATTTTATTTGAATAGTCTCTATTAAAATGTTGTTCCATTCTTTTATCTGCCAATAGCTTTAAAGTTTCTCTTTTTCAAAATTGCCTACAGTCTGATGATATTAGATTATTCTGATGATATTAAATTATTAAGAAAAATTGAAGCTGTATTAAAGACAAATTGTGGTTCAACATCTTATTAATAAACAAATGTAGTGTATTTTTCACAAATGTTCACATTATTTTGTCTGACCTCTGTATATTTACTTAGAGCTTTAGAAAATAACAAGATTGATAGACGATTTTATTATGTGTAAAGCACATATATGCATACGTTTTGATTCCACGTTTCCACGCCACTATTAACATTGTCTTAATGGCCACGTCAACAGGCATAAAATCCGATGTAACGATAGGATCCCCGATAAACACAACACGAAGAATACCTTTGCCGCCGCCAATCAACATTCCAACAGGACCGTTAAAATTGTCTAGCCAGCCTTTTACTGGATCAAACGCTGTAGAGATAACTAAAGAAAGAAAAAATCCTATATAATCCATCATTATTTTATCTATTTTTATATCGTTTCTTGGCAAAATAATTTTTTATTTTAATTGTAACACCTAAATATTACAATCATCTGCTTTGTATACTCTTTTAAACAGATTCCTTTGAAAAATTCAGATTCTAATTTTGATTCCAAAACCATCGTGAAAGTATTGTATTACGTGCCTATGGATGGGCGAACAATGACGCAAAGCAATGACTTTGAATAGTCGCTTACAACTTGTTCCGCCAATCTTTTTGTGAAAGTATACGTGTTTGGCATCGTTCCCAGATATCTAAAAGTGAACGTGAACGTATTTTAAGAGACAAAATGGACGCTATGCGGTGTTCATTAACTCTTACTTTGCTGCAAACGTGTTCAAAATATGCTCGTCAAAATGTTCGGCGCCGTTAATCACTTCTCTCCAATCCAAATCTGATGGATAAAGTGTCACATCAACCACTGGCTTGTCTGTTTGCGTATACGTAGAACTGACGTGTAGGAAAACCTTGAATCATTTACGCACAAATTAAATATTATACAAGAAAAATACATATATAAATTATGAAATTTATTTTTGATAACACATGATAACACATGAAAGATTTTATTACTCAAAATTATATTTAAGTGAAATTAATTTAATCTCATATATTTCACTTATTTGTATAAATACTGCAACAATTTTGATCTTAAAAATTGATAGGTAAAAAATATATATACTACAAGTTTTTTCATTTTTTCTGCTAAAATGCAAATATCCAGCGTTGACCTAGTGTTGTTGAAAACAGCTTCACGTAAACTTTCATCAAATCGAACAGAAGCCGCGACATGAAAAATTATAGACACTCTTTCGATCAACATTTCTCTATCGATCGGTTGCAATCCTAAGTCTTCAAGACTTACATCACCGTGAATTGCAATTAATTTATTAAAAGCAGATGGTCGCTCACTTCGCAAAACGTCAAAAAGCTAAAACAATCGTCAATAATTAGTAATATATTCTATATTGAAATTTTAATTTTACGATTTCAATCATTTTATTTATATTTCATCCCAAGAGGATTTCTTCGTTAGGAGAAAGAGAATTTTTTAAAGCGAAAAATTATAATAAAATAATTTTCTTTAAATAAGAAAGGAAGATGGTCTTCTTTATCACTCTCTTTTTATAAAAATGTATTTTCAACAATTTTTGAAAGCTGCTCTTTAAAGATTATAAACTGCTCATTAGGAATTATATATGTAGTTTTTATAAACTTTTGAATAAAATTTTAAATTTTGTCGCATTTACAAGTTATAACAATTTTTTTATAGATAATTATTTAACCGTTGCGCAAAAACATATATACATTTTTATTTTTTATAACTTTACCTTGTTATCCAACATTTTTTTTAGTCTTTCGTTTATGTTCAGTCCCTTCTTCGGTCTGATCAAAACAAAAATTTCACCAACATCGAGACAAGATCGCAGTAACTTTTCACATAGCGCTTTGCCTATAAATCCTGTACCGCCCGAAATTAAAATGCTACGACCTGCATAAAATGCAGGTATAAACGTATTTGGTGCACCTTTGTTCATGTCTATAAATGCAACTACTTCCGATAAGACGAATAAAGTATAAAAAGATAATGTGTTTAGTTATAAAACTGTAACAAAAATAGCAAGATTTGATTTAAATGTTAATTTTTAAAATCAAGAAAAACATATAAAGTAAAATTATTTTAAACATAAGCCAAACGATTGAATTTGAAACGAGAGTCGAAGTACTTCGTCTTCGATAAAAGATGGAAACGTGAATGAGCACAATGAATTTTTTTGAACAGGAAATGACATAAAAATTATTTAATGGTAATGATATGCCAAAGATGTTCAAAGGAGCAAGTTCTTCCATATTCATGTGTTTATATATATCATGTTTATATATATCTATATATATAAGTATATCCGTCCGTCTGTATGTATGTACGCGAACTACTTCCGCATTTGCGAACCGATTTTCGTGAAACTGGTACCAAAATGTTACAAATTTTTTGGGGGTTTGCTGTGGTTTTTTTTTTAATTTTTGAATTTTTTTTTTTTTTCTAGAGAGGAGGAAACGATATAAAAATAGATAAAATAATGATAAATTACATAGGATTTTTCTTTCTTTAGTCATATTCTACAGCATTTGATCCAGTAAAAAAAAAAAAAAAAAAGGCTGGCTACAGTGTCACAATTAAAATAAAAAATTATAGTTGAATAATAAAATTATTCTGCCAAGAAACGATATAGAAATTGTAGGCAATTATATATGTTTTGTATTATTTTGGACACGTGTCCTTACCGTGATGCGTGAGATCACTTTGCGCATGATCATCGAATGATTCCGTTTCGCGACAGCATGTATATCAAGCGAGAGAGTCGTATTAGAAACATCGACCGAGACACATGTGTATTATTATTTTTGAGTTGACCTACCTGCCTCGGGTTAATATCGAGTATAGTAAGTGCTTATATAAACTGTATCCATATATCAAATACATCCTGACGAGCTCTTTATTTTATTTTATTTTTAATTTTATTCATGTTCTGAAAACTCCCACAAAATAGATAAAATTTTTGCGAAAAATATTTTTTTTTTTCAAATTTCTACGCCAATGTGTTCAGAAATATTGCAAAAAAAGATTTTTTTAAGTTTAATGATTTTTCTTATACCTTCACTTACCCACCCACGCGCCACCCACGCACTTTCACATTAATGGATCAATTCCCTAGAAATTATTAATTAGGTAGTATTAAATTTTTTTGAGAAGCCTGCTATTTTCTTTAATTAAATTTTACACTCACTCATGCATCTACCCATGCGCACGCGTATTTATGGATTGATTTGCACGAAATCGGGACCAAAATTTTATGAGAATGGACCTATTTTCATTAAATTGGTATCAAAATGTTGTAATTTTTTGGGGATGGCGAGAATTTGGTTTTTTTGTTCTACACTCCCATTAACCCACCCACGCATTCTATCCACTGTAGATATGAAAAAGAAACATATTTATATTTTTAATAAAATCATCTTTTGGTAGTGACGTGATTGTTAAATAACATTATTAGATAAGAGCATTTATTAATATATTGTTTCTTTTCAATCGTAAAATTTTTTAAATTACTTTTAGTGAGTTTTTATAAAAATCACCCCTTAGGTGGTGATATGAGTTCTTTTAACATGTTATTTTATAAATGACTATCTATATATATAAGTAGCTGGTTTCATATATTAAATGTCATCATTGATTAAACAAATATAAATCAATTTAAAAATACAATTATAGAAAAAAATAATATACCAAAAGAAATAAAAAAAGAAATTGAAGAATTTCAAAATGGTAAATATAAACAATTTATTTATTTAAATAAAATAATATTTTTTATTTATAAATTTGTTAATCGTTTTATTTATATTATATTATCATATATAATATATAACCTTATATATTTTTAATTAAAAAATTTCGGTACTTAAAGATGATCAAATAAATATAAATCAATTTGAAAATACAATTATCGAAGAAAATAATATTTAGGGAATATAGAATATGTTATAAAAATAGGAAATAGGAACAAAGGAAATAGAAAATGTTATAATAAATAAAGCAAATGGATTTGAAATTAAAAGTATATAATACATTGATAAATACATTTAATATATCTACAGAAATTGAAGAAAGGTTTTGAGGACCGGCGCGAAGCGCGATCCGAAAAGCTAGTATATATATATATATATATCATGTGAGTTACGTAATTAGTTTCATAGATGAATGCATGTTGTAATATCAACATGTGTAATTACAAATCTTTTTCCATCTTCTGCATTTCTCTTTATTTATTATAATAAATTATTTCATCAATCAAAATTAATATTGGACGCTAGTGGTGAAAATACTTTCACGACGTTTCGACCATTTGGTTGTGGTCCTTATCAAGTGAGAATTCCATCAATTAAAATGAGATTAACGCAACATAAAACCGATCTTATTTAAAATTAATAGTTAAAAGAGGAACACGTCCCATCGCTATGATGTTTCGTCAACGTCGTGAAAGTATTGAATAAAATTGCTAGTTACGTCGAAATCAATTTTGCCAAGTTTAATTTATTTTATATTATACATCAAGTAATATATATTACACTATAGTTGTTTGTGACGATGTTGATCAGTTTGCGATCTGAGAATATTTAACAATCAGTGTCGGTTCACTTATATATCATCCATATTATTCCAATAACGATGATAGTTTTAAATGCCGTAGCAAACAAATCTAATCTAAAATATTTGTAAAATAAACACATTATTTTTTTTAATTTTTCATAATATTTATCCAACAACAAATTATTTTAATTATATTTTTATTTCATATGCATATAAATTCTTTATTAATAATAAATTATTATTAATAATCTTTTAATTTTTTGAAAATTTTCTCTCCCCCTATTATTTAAAATTCTATTATTATATGTAATATTAATAACTATATATATAGTACAATCTATATGTATTATTTAAAATCAAATTTAAAAAGTATTTAAAATTAAATTTCTTTTTTTAAATAAGATTCGAAGCGCTATTATATTTTTATTTAATAATAATACGATAACAATCGCAATCTTCAAATCTTTATTATTGTCATTGAATAATTAATTTTAATTTGTCTTGCATCTCATAAACAATAGTAATATTTTTATAAAATACATTCTTTACACTCACCGTCTGCGATACGCTTTAGCTACATCTAAGCGATTCATGTCCTCGTGAAAGAGATATTTTTTAGCTCCAATTATACCGGCCCTTTATTTCGTAAAATAAATATCTAATGACTTAACATCATCTTCGATGTAAACATTGCTTAAAAAGTTAAAATAAAAAATATTTACCTGTAAAATTCTTTAACATCAATATTTAAAATATCACATGAGAATGCTTCTTTTTCTTCGGGTAGAACTGAATCGAATAAATCTATACCATTGTTATTTTTAAATATCCATTGATGATTCGCAAAATATCCCACAGCGCAGCAGGCCGTGTATACTTTTTTTTGCATTGTTAATAGCCTACATTGCGTATACATTTATAAAACAATTTATGCAAATGATGTAATGTCAGCTATACTATTGAATCGGGAAATATAGAAAGTTTCGTAAAAAAATGTTTAAAAGAAATATTTAATTTTATACAAATTGCGTTAAAAAATATTTCTTTACTAAGTTTTGCCTCTGCGCACATGCGTGTACATTGATATTTTAGAAATACATACCCAAATAGCCACAGTAATTATTATGACATCATTTTGATGTCAAAATGCATCATTTGTCATCAAAATACTGTGGCTATCTGGGTATATATATATATATATATATATATATATATATATATATATATATATATATATATATATATATATATATGTCTATATTTATGACAAAAAAAATAATTTTTGCATTAAAAATAAATTTTATTTTAGATAGTATGGTTTTTAGTCATTTGTTCTGTCTTCTTTTCTCTTTCTCTCTGTCTCTCTTCTTCTAATCTTCCCGATTCAATTAAACAACTGTATTTAATAGGATATGAATGATCTGTAAATTTGAGAGCAAAATGTTTGGTACTTACATAGGTTTATGTTTCGTAAGTTTTAAAATCAGATCTATTAAAATAGCTGGCAAGATATGCAACAACATTGTCAATATATAATATATGATGGAATTATTAGTAATTATTACACCGGGAGTCCAAAGAGTTTGCTCGAAGGGTATCTCATCTAGAAGTTGAAAACCCATTTTACAAATTGGTTCTATGGACAATCCTCTCAGATTGGAAGAAGTACAATTTATGATAAAAGGTGAAGAACCCGGCTTGAAGCTAATAAATAAATAAAATTATAAATTCAATTAAAAAATTGTTATTTATACAAAATTATATATAAAAACATTAGAGTGCATTAGGGTGCAATATTATTAGTATTTTTGAAAAATTTAAAAGTTTGTGCGAGTTACAAAATATTATTATAAAGTCTTAAACATTCAAAATTAATAAATTTTAATAAATCAATTTCAAAATTGTCAATTTAATTATGAAATAATTTTTTTTGAGTAAAATGCGTATGATTTCGCTGAAATGTTGATTTAGTTTTAAAATGAAAGGAGAAACTTTTTTTTTCATATTTGTAGCATGCACTTAATGCAGTTATAATATATAATACTTTATAAATATATAATACTAAATATATAATACTTTATATGTATTTTTATTATATGAGTATTTAGTATGTTGAGATAATAATCGTACCTGGTCAATCCAATCTTCCAAACTGTGATTATCAACCATTTGATGGCAACATCTACCGGCATCACATCTGGACGAAGATGTTTATTAGTCTTGAATACTCGTAGTACTCCTTTACCACCACCGACGAGTATTCCTACTATACCATTCAAATTATCTATCCATCCTGGGAATGGATCGTTCAATGTATTTGACACTAAAATATGAATCATACTTGTTAAATACGTATTGCTACATTATTGTTTATTCTAGTAATCTATCAAGGTATTTTTTTATTTTTTGTATTGTGAAACGAAATTTACTTGTTAGTTATTTCCAATAACAGTAGAGTAAACGTTTTGTAATAATTATGTATCATATGAGAATTTATGTGGAATGGTTTTCTAATATAAACACTTTATTTTAAAATACACATACATTTTTTATATTTTATTAAGAGATATTCTTTTTGATATGTCAAATTGTAAATCGCATTCCAAAAGGGAAAAGTAAAAATTTATTTTTAACATCTTAAAAAAAAAAAAATAACATACCTATAGAAGGTCTTACAATCGCACAAGGTAACGATGAAGAATAATCCGCTATTACACTCTCAGCTAAATTTTTCGAGAATATGTATGTGTTGGGAAAACATTCCAAACATCTGTACATAATATTTCAAAATTATATGAAAAATTAATAGCCTTAGAATATCATATTATACTTAAAATTTTAACTATATATATTGTACATATATTTGTGCATATATTACATATGCACTTACGCGGTTTTATGCATATATTAAAAGTATTATTATAAAAAACGTGTATCACAGTTATAAATTATTAATAAAATAATAACAATAAATATAATAATATATAAATAAAAATTATTTGAAATTTATAAATGTTATATTGATTTTATATACATATAGTTTGTCATACTTAGCTGTAAAGACATTTAAAATATGCTCATCCAATGACTCGGCTGCTTTGATCATTTTCCGCCAATCGGCTACTGGTGGGTATATTTTTTCTTCTATGACAGAATTATTTATATGCGCGTATGCTGTACTAACATAAACTAGTGCCTTTAATAAATAAATACGTTTTAATAGTAAAGTTACATGTTTTTTAAAATAATGAAGACTTAAATGAACTTAATTGCAATTGAAAGGAAATCATATTTATTTTTGTTGTTAAGTGTTTAACTGTAATTCTTTTTACGTAAAAAAAAAATAAAATTATTGTTCGACAAAATTTTCATACTATAATAACAATAGTTTGTAATATTAATTATTATATTATACATTAAATAATTTATATATTAATAGATACTTAAAAAAACACTAAATACGCCATTTGTCACATTTATACTTACTAGAAGATTTTTCATATCTTGAGCTAAGATACAGATATCTCTTGTCGATCTAGTATTTATAAAAATAGCATACTTTAAGCTGTCATTAAATCTCACACTCGCTGCTGCATGAATTATTATAGTCACTCTTTCAACTAACATTTCTCTATCGGCAGCCGACAGACCCAAGTTCTCTTTACTAACATCACCAAAAAGTGGAATTATTTTTTTTAAATTTGAAGGTTGCTCTTTTCGCAGTTTATCGAATAACTGAAATAAAAATACATGTTATATAACGTACTTATATTACAATTGCCATGATTCTTATATCTTCAATAATTTTGCAAAAAAATTGTAGAATATTTTTGTTACTTTTACACTATATCTTACGTTTTCAAATGTTCTCTCTACTATTACTTATACGTTTTTTAATTAAATTTATCACTTTTATCAAATTGTAAAATTAATTTTTTGTAAAAATAAGAAGCGTCATATGATAACACTCTCAAAAGAACATTTTCATTTAATCGTTAGAATAATTCTTAAAAAATTCAAAAAAGTATCTATACTTCTGTAATTGACTTACCGGTAATTTCAATATTTGTTCGAGCCTTTCGTTAATGCTTTGTTCTTTTTTTGGGCGCATCAATATAAACACTTCGCGAACATCTGGGCAAGATCGCAGTATCTTCTCCATGCATACTTTACCCATAAATCCTGTCGCACCTGTTAAAAATATACTTTGTCCAGCGTAAAACGATGTAATTGACTTGATTGGATTATTTATATTCTCATCCATCGTTATTAAAACAAAATCAATATAAATAATATAATAACAACGTAACTGCCAAAAATAAATACAAGTGCACTCGGAAATTTAATGATCTCTTTTATATTGATTTTTTCACAGCAGGAGTTTAATTAGATGACAAACTGAGCTCAAACTTCAACGACGTACGCTACTCAATTAAAATCATATGCTAGATTATCATTTGCTATATAACGTTTTGTTAAATAGATGTGCATCTAGACATTAATAAAACGGAAACTATTTAAACCAAGGGTGAAAAAGCAAACTTACATAATGCAGTCTAATAATAATTTAATGTATGCTTGATCCAGTAGTATAATGACATGCTTTTTTGCAGTTTATTCTACAGTTTTTTTAACGTTATATTACAATTTTTTTTATTTTACACTAGACAACACAAATTAACTTGTGTTGTCCAAATAAAATTTATTTCTTAAACCTTGACATTCTTCATGAATAAGAAGGTATATTCCTTCTTTTTCTCAACAATGAAATACTCGATAAAAAATTGATATAAATTTGTATTATTATAATTAGTTTATTAATGTTTATACAGTAATTATCTAAACTTAATAACAATCTAGATTATATATTTGGTGCAACCGCAATTGTTAAATCAAATTTTTTTTATAGAACAATTAATCCACATTAATATTTATCATATATTATCCACATAATGAGAGTGCCGACCAATATTTTCACAATTCTATCGAGCCATAGCATCCTACAGTCATAAAAGAGAATTAAATTATTATTTTGGACCATATATTTATATCAAATCATTAAAATCTCTTTCAGAATAACTCGGCTAATTGAATTTATATTTGAGATAGCTTAGTTTTACTATTATAGTGCTCGAAAAAATAAACAATTTGTTTGTGCAATTTTATATAAAGTTTAATGGATCAAAAAATCAAAGTATCAAGTAAATTTATATACATTTGTGTTTTATGAAGTTAAAGATGTAAATATCTTGAGAAAGTTATTCGTCAATTGTTTTAAACAATATGACAAATATTTTTTTTGCGGAAAAAATATATTTCATACACAATTGAAAAAATAAAGAAGAATAAGGCGGAGCATAATTTTTTGTACATAAAATAAACTGAATGCAGTCAAAATCTTACCTTCTATAATGAAATTTCACCGCATCCAATCGATCCATACTTTCGTTTAGAAGAAAAAGTTTACTTCCAATTATACAATTTCTACGACAAAAAAATAAAATTTAATCGCTTATATAAATATTATCTCTTCTTTCTTAAATTTAATATTTTTTTCAATAAAAACAAAAATATATTAAATATATAAATAGTCACCTTTCACTCATATCTTTTTGAAGATTAATAAATTTTAAGATTGTGTGTCGCAAAGTTTTTGTCTTACTCACTTATAATACAGTGGTTTGTCGTAATCTAGATCTGTTACAAATCCGAAGTCTCGTTGATTGTTGCGGGGCACCTCATTTGATAAACTTATTAGTTTTTTATTTTGAAAGACCCATTTGTTCAATAGAAAATGCGTGGCTAATTCGGAACTTATGAATAGTTTCCTTTGCTGTTTCAATAATCTAAAAATATTTTAAGTGTAATTTTATTATTTTCTTAGTTTTCTTTGAATTATGATTAGCAAATATAATATATTTTGATTGATCAAGAAAAAAAAAGTTTTACCTTGGACGTTTGCCTGCGAATTGTAATAATACATCAATAAATAAGGCTGGTATTACATGCAGCAACAATACTAATATCTTGTAAAAGAAACGATTTTTGTCGTAATCATTGCAGGAGCCCAAATCATATTTTCCAAAGGAATGTTTGCGAGAATTTTCGTGCTTATTTGAAACAACACAAAACGTGATGGATTCGTCTCATGAGTCGTCGAACAGTTATAAACAAGTGGAAGAATATTTTGCGTGTCGTCATTTTTGCTAACAAAATTGAAAATGATCTTATTAAATCTTTTACAAAAAATATGTATTACACAGATTTATTATGATATATTTTTATTATATTAAATTTTATAATTTAAATATATTTTTTAATATTTTTTATAGTATAAATTTTAAATAACTCTTTATATGACATTTTAGCTAATCTTAAAACAAAAATGATAGGTACCCAGGTAGCAAGCTGTGTGACGTCATTCGACGTCAAAAAGACGTCATTTTGACATTTAATGACGTCAGCTTGCTATCTGGATATTTATAAGAATGCAATTAATTGTACTTTATTATGCCACATTTCCATCCTGCAACAATCATAGCTTTAGTGACAATGTCAATTGGAACATAGTTGTCATTAACGAATGAATCATTGTAAAACACTCGTATTATTCCTTTTCCACAACCGACCATCAATCCCACTGGACCATTAAAACTGTCTAGCCAACCCTTCATAGGTTCATTTAACGTTGGTGTAACTGAAAAAAATGTTAATTTAAGAAAATTTTATATCAATAAATGTGAATATATATTGTAGTTCTATTTTATGGTTCAAGGCAAATTGTAGACTATTGAAATAGAAATTTTTTTTATTTGATATAGAACGAGCTTTTTAGTATTATTTGAAATAAAATAAATTGTTGAATTTATCTTAATTTTATAAATATATTAAAAGAATTTGATATCTATATATATTATTTCTGTAAAAAAGAAATAATTTATCTAAACTTTAGCTATGAGTGAAATTCAGAAAATCAGTTCTGATAATAAATACCTCGTGAAAATTATGATAATAAATTAATATTAAGATTATGATAATAAATTAATATTAAGATTATGATAATAAATTAATATTAATATTAAGATATTCTGTCTTATATGATATATATTTACATTAAAATAAATACATACTTATAGACGGTCTGCAAATCACGCACGGCAATGATTTGGAATAATCAAATATCACCTGCTCTGCAAGTCTCTTGGTAAAAATATATGAATTCGGCATTGTACCTATGTATCTGTAAAAATCTCGAGGATGTGTCAAAACTATTATATTCCAAATAGAAATGTACGAAAGTGATATTAAAATGAAAAATATTGATATGTAAATAATTCAAATAAGTATCGATTTGAAAAGAAGAGTACTTATTACAGAATTCTTTCAAAGTCACTTGCGGTATATTGGATATAAATATAAAAAATCATAAATTATTTCAACTTTAACTTTAAATTAATTTTTAAACTAAAATAATAAACAGGGCCTAAAATTATTTAAACGTTTTTCAATCCCGAGTTTAGCTTTAGTCATTTTTATGTGTTATTATTTGAACTTTATCAAAAAATATACAATTATATTATAATAAAAGTATATCATTTTTATAATTTATTTATTAAACAAATATATAAAATAAAGGAATCGATGTAAGAATTTAGCACTTACTTTGACTTAAACACTTCAAAGGTATACTCGTCCAAAGTTTCCGCAATTTGAATCGTCTTCTTCCAATCGACTTCCGTTGGATATACAATCTCATCGATGACAGGTTTATCAACCTGCGAATAAGTTGTGCTGACATGCACCAAAGCCTTAAAAAATAAAATAAAGTCAAGTTAGTGGGATAGTGTTTGTGAGAAATAATTTTGGATTAAAATTGACGCGCAGAATTTTCATTTCTATATATTCCAGCAAATTATTTACCACCAAATTTTTCAAACATTCGCCTAAAATGCAGACGTCTCTTGTCGCCCGTATGTTTATAAGCACAGCTTTCTTCAGTGTATCGTCGAATTTCACGGTCGCCGCTACGTGAAATATTATAGACACCTTTTCGATCAATGTGTTTCTGTCAGCAAATGACAAACCTAATCCTTCGATCTCGATATCACCCTTTAATGGAATCAATTTCTTTAAACAATGGGGTTGTTCACTTCGCAATCTATCAAACAACTGCAAGATATAATACACATAAAAGAATGATATAATTTTTTTTGAATGGCATATGATATATTTTTATCGAATGTATGCATATTTATACATCTATATTACAATATTATTTATAATATTGTATAATAATTATTATAAAAATTTTATACTATATAATATTATATATTATTCTATAATATTATATAAAAGAGAGACGATAAACATATAATTTTATCATTGTTACAGAGCCTCTCTTTAAACATATAACAATATTTTTAAAAAATGATATGAGCAAGTCAAATTGTTCCGGAATTGTTTTTATAATACGTAATGCGGATCACCTTGTATACGTAATATTAATTAATTAATAATATTTTAATTATTTCTCTTATATTATACTTACCGGTTTTTTCAACATCTGCTCGAGTTTTTCTTCAATGCACATATTGGCCTTCGGACGCATTAATAAGAATATTTCTTGCATATCCGGGCATGATCTCAGTAACTTTTCTATCAACATTTTTCCGAGATATCCGGTTGCGCCTGTAATGAAAATACTTCTTCCAGAATAAAATGTTGGTATCGACAAAGTCGATTCAATTGTGCCTTTGTCCATCTCTCTCAATTGTAATATTACAGTTAAATATAACAAAAATTAAATAACGCGCGCATTTATTTCAGTAGATTAGAGAAAACGTATAAATCTGTTTCTTTCATATAACCGTATTAAAATCACGAATGAATCTGACAGAAATCGACGAAAAAAGTACGTTATATTTGTAACATTCATCTGCATTTACTCATAAATTTGTAAGCGATATTATTTTGTGAATCGCTAACATGTTTGTCAACATTTAATTTTAACCAATTAATTTAATTTAAACCAATTAATTTATTGATCATTATTTTAACTTACTATAATCTTTTCGATATATTTTTATAATTCTAATATATATATATATATATATATATATATATATATATATTTTATTTGTGTTTATATACCTTTGTGTTATAAAAATCAAATTTAAAAATACGAAATTTCTATCTGTGCACATTTTAATAAGATATAAATAAATATAAATGCTTTGATAGTCGCAGATAAATGCGAGAAAAAGTTATATAAAAAATATAAATTTATTTCAATGAACTATTATTGTTCAAGATATAGTAGAATTTAATTTATTTGACATACATTATTAGAAAATAAGAAAATATATTTCTATATAAATTGTTTATCCAAAAAAATGCACGTAATAAGCAGTTCTGTACGCATATATACTTAGATTTTTATCGTTTAATGATAATTTTTGATGCTTAAACGATCTTAGTGTTTTGTTTACGTTATATCAATATGCATATATGCATATGTATGTGTATGTATATGTAATGCGATATCGCTGACATGTTTCTGATTAACCTTGCTTTTCAAATTACTGAATTTCATCGACAAAAAATTCAATTGAAATTTATACAATGACTTGCATCATTTTCTATATTACTCGACAATTTTCTGACTTTCCTTAATACAGTGCATTTTGCATCATATGCGCTTCATTTAGAATTGTTGTATATTTTGTGTGTTCAACGATCTCTTTCCGTGAAGATATTTTTTACTATAAATGAATCACTGGAATAATTGAACCCAATAAAAAGCAAAGTGCTTACGTAATGCGGATGTACACTATTAACATGGGATCTGAGGAAGAAATCGAGGATAAGGCAATTCATCTCATTGCTTTTAATCCAACTATTTTCGATACTAACAAAGACACTCCTAAAATAAAGTATGAAACCAAATTATATGATAATAGTTTTTGCGTAAAAAACCAATAACTGTGGATTATTTACATAAATTTTATTGTGTTTGAAAAGACTTTAATCTATTTTAAATTAACGTAAGATTATTATTCTCTATACCTTATATTAAAATATTTTTCTATTTATTTCAGAGACTCTATTCGTGATGTTAAAATCGCGAAAAAAGTAGCTATCGAAAATAAAGATAGAATTAAAGGTAAGAGACTAGATAGAAAGATGATATTGCTTTCCAGAAAAACAAAGATCTTTCACATTTTATCTCAGATTCTGAAATTTTGTACGACAAATACGAGGAAGATGAAGGTCTTTTGCAAATATCGAGGACGAGAAAACTTTCGCCTTTCTCGTCACTAGTATGTTATAATTGTTTATTTATTAGAAAAAGTTAAATTTAATCAAAATCGTACATATATCGCGTTTTAAATACGAGAAGCATCAGATGATTTATTATTTTAATATCTTTTAATATGACAAATATTCTTTGATTACTCGACAAGCTTTTTTGATATTTTTTTTGTTTGTAGATTAAAAAAAGTGAAATTTACTTAAAGAAGTTTTCTGAGAACTTCATATTAATTAACGTACTTGTGACGTTATTTGATCAATTTTGTTTTGAATTTAAGCAATTGCATGCACAAAAATAATTAACTAATAAATTATGCAATGAGCTCTATAAATATATAATACAAAATAATAAAAAGCTATATTAAAAGACATGTTTTTTAAATATAAAAAATTCACATAAATTAAAATGTATGTATCAGATAAATATAAAACTTAGAATTTATTTTAGAAGCTATTTAAATTTATCCAAATATATTTTATAGATATAAAAAATAATATATTATCGCTTCTAAATAAATTTTTGTTTTAGCTACATAAATGGAGTGTAATACAGGTAATTCTTATATAACTAAACATTCTATTATAATTTTCGACTATCACAACGTGAAGATCTTTATAATTTAAATTTATTAAATTAATACTGTATTAATTAATGTTTAGAGTTTGGAGTATTATTATATATATTTTTGATTTATAAAATTAATTATTCTATGTGCTTTATCATCATACCAAAAAGATATTAGGATTGCTCTAAAGAAATAATTTCATTGTCTTTTTAATTACGCATTTATATTTGAATATTATTTAATATTTTGATGATATAAAATATATTTTATTCAATTTTTGAACAGTCTTTAAAAATTACAAATAATATTATAAAAATACTGTAAAATATTTCAAATAAACTATCTTATTTTTTACAGGTATCGATTATTGCACATTTTTCACATAACGATTTTATTAGAGGGTATATTACATCGATTCAATTTAGTCAAAGCTTCAACAAATTGAAATAATGACAAAGAAAGCACGGAAAGCGTTAGAAAAAGAACAGGCGGCAACTGCGGCTGCAGAAGCTGAGAAACTTAGGTAAAAAGTATTAAATAATATATATGCAAGAAAGAACGCAAACAAGATATTCAACTCACACAATAAAATATTAAATACAAAAGCACATGTATAATATCAATTATTTTTTCCAATTTAAATCAGAGCAATTTAACTTAGCCTAAAGAGTTAATGTAAACATATAGAGAATAAAAAATCTTCTGTTTTGACTAATTATTATTTTGTATCGATTTGTGACATCATAAAAATTAATTAATTTACTATTAATTAAAAAATATTTACCCATATTATATTTTGAGTTTTTAGAGTTTAAGATAATTTTTACATTATGTATATTTATATATATATATATATATATATATATATATATATATGCATATTCTTAATACATATATTAAATTTTAAATATTATAAGACGTTTTAATAAGAAAAAAAATAAAGAGAAGATCAATTCGTTTTTTGAGGTTTTTGTCTTTTTATTAATTTTTTCTTTTCAAAAATTATTTTTTATAAATATATATTAAAGCAAAGTATCTTGAAAAGGGCGCAGATGATTAAAGACATGCATGAGGAAATTCGACTAGAGAAATACAATGTGGAGAGACAAGCCTTGCTCGAGGAACAAGAAGCGGAGATGCGTAGAATTCAATTCGAGGAAACGCGACACGCACTTTGCGATTATAAAGATGCATTTGTGAATTACATAGCGGCCACTGAAGCAGAGGAGAATGTAAGTATCTTGATTTTTTTTATATATTTCTAAGGAACAAACATAAACAGTGATCACTTCTTAATTATAGCTGGAAACATGTATATATTTCCACAAAAATGTTTATAAGTTTTTACATTTATAAGTTAATTCGATATTTTTTGTAATATCCCTTTCTAAAAAAGGAATGCAAAATTGATTATTGCAAATATTGTTACTGCTTTTCCGCGATTGTCTCGATTAACATTGTGTGTTATATTAATAGCATCTGTCGTCGTAAAGATTAACAGTTTGATAGTTGTAAAATAAAAAATTAAAATAATATCCATAATAATATCATAATTATAAACTTAATAACAAAACTGAGTTTGGTTTAGGAATCAACACAAGTACTTTTACTTGTAACTTCTTATTGTACTAAAAACGCAAATCTGCTTATAAATACTAAATTTATGTAGCATATATATACGTTATTTCGTTTAATCTAACCGAATATAATTACGCACGCAAAGTGAAGTTATATTATTCTACGATAATAAAATCTCAAAAATTGCGCATACACGCATACACGCAAAAATTATTATTGCGATCAATGCATAAAAAATATATTAATTAATTATGCAACGCATAAAAATTCAATATTTAAATCTTTTACAAAAAATACAACCAAAAAAAATAAAATTTTATACAAGAATCTTTTGTGATTAAATATGTACGCTTTTATTAGACTCGTGCGAAACTCTATACTTCACTTATCCATTACGCTGCGCGGTTCGCGCGAAACTGATTCTTATGCGGGTATCGCGAGCGCGGGCCCGATGGTCACATGACTAGTGGTCACGTGATCACTAGTCATGTGACCACTGGTCATGTGACCATCGGTCCCGCGCTTGCGATACCCCGCATAAGAATCAGTTTTGCGCGAACCGCGCACCGTAATGGATGTGTGGGGTGTACTAATCTGATCACGTGATCAGTTTCGCACGAGCTGTGCAGCGTAACAGACGCGCAAATCTAATGCAAGCGTAGATATTTTGATCAAAAATTTTTGTAAAAAATTATATTTTTTGTTTTCTGTTAAAAATGTATATATTGAATTTTTATGAATTACGTAATTAATAAATATATTTCTATGCATGCATTGTAATAATAATTTTATATATGCGTTGCAATTTTTAAGGTTTTATCAAAGAATAATATAACTTCGCTTCGCGCAAGTAATTATATTCGATTAAACTAAACGAAATGAGAAAAATATATACATATATAAAAAGATACAAAATAGTTCTCAAACAATACATAGAAATTCGGCGAATTAAAATTATGTATATAATTAAAATTCGACTAATTAAAATTATATACGTAATAGAAATAGAAAGCAACTCAAAGTCATTGCAAAGATTAACACACACACACAATTTGATGATTGTAAAATAAATAATATATAGAAATAATCAAAAGTGCGCGCGAAGCGCGCTTATGTAGTCTAGGATATTAAATATCAAATATTAATAACAATTTGACAAAAAAAAAAGAGTAATTCATTTTCCATGTTTTTATATTAATTATGAATATAATATTAATTTTATATTAATTCTGACCTTTGAGAAAGTGTAAATTTTTTAAATTGTAAAAAGAAATTTTATTTTTGAATTGATGAATTGTATAATATAAAATTATTTAAAATTAAATATATATTAAATATTAAATTAAATATAAAATTAAATTTGGATTATATATAAATAGACTTTGTAATATGTAACGTGCAATGTCACTAACGAGATAATTTTGTTTATAGTGGACTCGATATATGACGTGCGACGGATTGCCAGATCCCGGAAGTTTATCCGAAATGAATACCTATATATTTTTGTGGTCCATGGAAGATGAGAAGGTTGATATGAGCAATTTTGTCGTGAGATACAATACTATCATTTATGTACGTGAATTTTTATACAATTGAATCAAGTTCAGTAACGTAATTAAATTTAATAATTTGTCGACGTATACAAGCAGATATATTTCTGCTCGCTATTATTAATTTATGAATGAAACGTTCCTTCTGTCAGTCATATGAGAGTATAAAATCTTCTTTTCAGCTATTAACGAAACTCGATGAGATAATACAATTCTCCGTAATGAGATCGTCCGATTACGTAACCGAATGCGAGACGGTGAGTAATCGCTCGACTTCACTTTAAAAGGGTAATTGCTGAAAGGTTCATTCCACCCTGAACACAGATCAGACAACGATTCCGAGACAAACTTCAAGAATGGACAGACGCGGCCTGCTACTCTCTCTTACGTCAGATAGAGAAGGATATGATGTCTCCGATCAGATTATTTACTGCGTTTGGGCTCTGATCAAATTGCCCATCGGACTTAAACAGGTCACCGATAAGGATCGGCACGTGTCGACGATCGCGGATATATTTATTTGCTTCGCCACATGTGTATATATAGACGTAAAATGTTAATCAATAAGTTCCAATAACGATCGCTCGTGTATGTATTTTTGTTTCGACAGAAAATCGATCGAAGTGCATTTCGAGGAATTGGATCTGACTGTCAAAATGCCTCTCGACGTCGATTGCTACTGCATGGCGATTCGGGCATTGTGGTTAAAACATGATCATTATTCCGATTGCGCGAGTTCGTATGTCTCGCCGAGACTACCGGATGAATATGAAAATATTTATATTATAGGTATTAAAAATTACCGATTACTTTCTATTTCCATATCTCTATAGAGAGTAAATTATATATTATTTATTATATTATATTATATATAATATATTATATGTTATATATCATGTATTATATGTTATATATTATATATTATATATTATATATATATATATATATATATATATATTCACACACATATATATATTATATATTAAAATATAATTATATATTATTTATCTATTTATTATGTAAATATTGTGAATGCTTTCATCTCTGTAACTTGGATTCTCAGATTTCCCTACTTTCTGCCAAAACGAGTATGACACGAAATTAAAGATTCGCGAAGAGCAGGTCGAGGATCGTCGCTTGAGACTGGAGGAGAAGAAAGCTATACTTGAAAGGATGGAAAACCCACCGGTTCAGGCGCCTACAAAACCCGAAAGGAAAGGGAAACAGCAAAAGAAACCGGGCGTCTCAGGAGCGAAACGCCCGGAACCGGAACCGGAAACAGAACAGCTACCGTATCTACCTACACCGGACGAGATCATTTTGCAAAAAGAGGGTATGCGATCCTCGAATTCTCAATTTACGAAAAATAATTTATATTACTATAATATGACAAAGATAGAGAATCACTATCTAGAGAAATATATTTTATTGTTGTTATCTTCTGCACAGACGAAATGCGAAAGGAGATTAGAAAATTACTGTTTACTCGATGCGAAAAGACGGAGATCAATTTGCGAAAATACAGGATACTTGGCGGTGTGTTACACATCGATTTAGTTTATCAGCCGCCGCAACCCAAGGACATGAGCAGAGAAATCATGCTCACCACCTGTAATAATTATTCTAATTAATTCCAAAAAGTTAATTATATTATATATATTGTATATACCTTTTTTACAATTTAAAATTTTACTTTTTTTGTAGTACAAATTCCCAAAAAATTGAAATTCGTACCATTCTATAAACCGTACAAGGCGCCACCGGCGGCACCCGATTCTGAAAGAACACCGGAAGTGATCGAAGCAGAGATGAAAGCTCTGGAGACTGCGATGGAGGCATTAGTTCTGGTAACTTTAAAGTACGCTCTAACAATTTATAAAACAAAATTATTATCTTCTCTCAAAAGAAAATATTTTTTATAAGTTAATGAATTTCTCTAATCTTATTCTTACAAGTAAGAATTTAAAAATACGATGCAATAATAAAAATGTTGATATAGATGGTTCACTTAAAAAAAATTAAGGACCGGTGCAATAATGACTATAGATACAATAAAATCTTTTTCATGATAAATCACTTAATTCTTTAAAAAAGAAATAATAAAAACGAATTTAAATAAAATTAAACTGGTTATATACGCGCTCTTTTCTTTCCAGACTTCCCAGTTCTATTATTTGGTTTGAACCACCATTAGTGGCTCACTGGATACCCGAAAAAAAATTATGGTCCACTCAAGACGTGCACGATATCAAATATAACGAAGAAAAGCAAACTATCACATTTAGAACCGGCAGATTAGGCGTTCACGGCCTCGCTGCTCTCAAGTTCGTCAACATCCCCTTCCAAAGTTGGGAGCTCAAGCCTGAAATGGGCAGAAAGGCCTGTGGTGGAGTTGTCCTCAATATATCTGCTGCCATTATTCAAGCAGAATTCATCGTCAGGGTATTCTATGAATCACGTCAAATTTGAATAATTTTATTATTTAAAAAAATCAGATGCACAAGTTTAGATACAAAAACAATGAAAGAATAAATATGGAAAATAGCTAATATAAGTGACAGTACAGAATTCGTTGACGCCTTCTTAATTATCAACATCGTTTTTTTTTTCTAAAATATGTTTCTATTTTTAAAAAATACATCTTTATAAAATCGCAAAGATTCTCAACGTAAAATGCAAATTATTCGATAATATCATTTCGTTTTCGCCAGGAGGACCTGGTCTGTCTGAATTCGCTGGCTGGAGGTACATCGACGACGCTCAAAGAAATGCTTGGAGAATATATGAAACTGCATCTTTTAATTGAGGTAGTCGCTCTTTCTTTTTCTGTTTTTCTTCTTCGATCTGCGGTTTAGTATTTTATTAACAAAAATATTTTCCTCTGATAGAAAATGCGCGATGCCGGATGCGATCTGTTTCCGGAGCGAGATGCGTTCAGTTATGTGAAGGCTCTTCCAGTGAAGCATCCAGCCACGGAGAAACATTTGCGGGAATGTATCGCTTTACTTTGCACGACGTATACGTTTTCCTGGTCACGCTGGAACGCCGGTCGAAATTCCAGAGAGATCGTGATACAGTTCAAAGAACATCACGGATGCGTCGCGAAAGAGGTAGCGAGTTGAATTTCTGTCCGAAAAGTTTAGTGTTACAATTATTGTTGCGCCAGGATACATAGAATGAAAACGAAAAATAAACAGATTTTCCAGACTTTTATCAGAATATCCTATTTTTTCATTCTTCGTAGCGAACGAACTTGACTCTTCTGGTGACTCCCTCGCGAACGATGACAGTATCCTGTACCGAAGTGAGCTCAGAATTTTCCGATGTACCTCTGGATGGTGAGAATTCAAAGGTGAACGCATTTAATTTTACAACCCACACATTCCATCAGCTGATCTTTAATTATTTTGAAGATGAATCATGCTATTACTGTGTAATTAAAAAAATATAATTATGTACACGATACAAGATAATATTAAAACCTCACATAAAAAGATATAATCTAATAAATATTATACAAATTGAATTATATAGCTTACTATACATCTAAATTTACGAAAGATTAATATTTGAACCAATACACAATTTCTCTGATATATCTCAGATCGATCAGAGTAAATAAGGCAATTCATTAAAAAAAAAAATTGTGAGAAATAATTGACCAAAAGATGTTCTGTTCCGGCAGTTTTATGCTGATCTATATCATTTGGCGCTACAAAACGCCGGGATCAAAAGTCGGCTTTTGATGAAGAACGTTTCCTTCAAACTTGCCAGTACTATCACGGAACTTCTGGGTTACACTAATGTAATCAACATGTCATCTTAAAATGTGTTTTTGAAAATAAAAAAATTAAAGGTATATATCTTTTATGGATTTTAATTGATTTCTCCGTTTTTTCACTTATAAATTGATCTATTTAATCTATTATATACATATATCATGAACTTTGTATTCCTTTCGACAAAAGCAATAATATGTTATCTAATAAACCTTTTTGTTATATCAGTACAAAAGTATGTGTGTGATTCTATTTCTACAATAAATACAAACTATTTTATTTGTCCAACATAAAACGCTGGAATTGATTCGTTTGAATTAAGTGTAGTATAGTTCATTATCATTAACATAAAGTAAACATGTGAACAGAACTACTAACGAAAGAAGAATCAAAATTATGTATTTGAAAATATTATTGTATCTATTACTAGAACAATATAGGCAGATTTCGATTAGATATAAATGCTGAAATCAGCTACCAACAATGCACATTATTTAAGTACACAAGATATTAGATTATATACATAGACACATCGATAAACGAGAAACCAGAATTATGTAGTTCAAGATTGAAAAAGTAAATTTATAAAAAGATGCAATAATTTATCGTTATAATAGCAATGAAAAAGCATAATAAAGCTTATTGTTTGTACGTGTTTATTATTATATGCACAATACACAATCTAAATTCTTTTTCAAAAATTAATGATCATTATATATTGAATATAATACAGCTTCGATTTAAACAAATAAATATCCAAATTCTAATCAAACCGAATGAAGCATTAAGTACATGCACAATTGAAAAATATAAATGATGGAAATGATAAGCAAAATAGTAAACAAAATCGATTTATGCAAACTTCTGTTAATATTTTGTAACAGAAGATTATTACATTCGATAATTTTCCTTCTGGTTATTGATGAAAATAATTTTTCGCTTTTCACACAAATAAACACTTTTATTGAAAAAAGCGCTTTTAGACATACGCAGTTTCTGTAACATTATAAATTGTAGTAAACTTTATATGTATATATGTAAAAATTTCTGTATTATTTATTTAAAAATTTTACTATTCTTATGGAATATTGAACGATATTCGTTGAACGATAAATATAATATAATATAATTATAACAGCAATCTTCTAATGCTATTCTTTCAACATAGCAAGTAAAGCAACAAATATTCCATTGGACTAGCGTTGCCTGATTTACAAAAAAATATCTTTCTGCCTTAAGATCTGTAAAGACCATTTATCACTATTGAAATCCTATATATCTTCTCTCATTTCAAAGCTATATATATATATATATATATATATAAAATAGAAATAGGTTTCTTAGGGTCTAAATTTTCTTTTGTACGCCTTTTGGGACCAGTCACGTGATTAGCGTAGTGGGGAGAAATACATGGCCTTTAGTTTCGCAGGTAGAGATTTCAGAAATAAGGTACAGTCAGAGTATGAAAGACGTCTGCAGTGTATAACACGTATTTATTCCCTTCACGAACAAATATCGCAATAGATTCTCGTGTGATTTTATAAACAAAAATTAATTACGCGAATAACTTGTTGCAATTATTTGCATTTATTATTTTCTCGTGTTTAACTAAATTCTATTTGTAATGGCTACGATACAGTACTTACCTGATGAAATGATAAGTATAATTCTCAACTATAAAGATATTACTATTGAAGATATTATTAACTTTAGATGTACGTGCCAACAATTTCGTTACGCAGCCAAAGATGACACGTTTATGGAAAAAAAATTTTGTCAGAGGTAAGTATTTTACTTTGTTTATAAATGTTTCGTAATTTTTTTTTCTTTGGACTATCGTACAATATATCGCTGTTGCAAGAAACATATTTTAAAACATTAACTACATAAAAAAATAATGCAAATCTAATATAATATAACAATCATATAAAAGACCTCTATTAAATAAAATAAAAACGAATGAGGGATTACTGAGAGACAAAACACAGAAATTCGAATGCATGTGAGCAATTAAATATTCAAAGAATTTTCTTCCATTGTTCATATTATATAGTTTTTAATGATAGTAAATTTACGAATACAATTAAATAGTAAAATTAAATATTTTCTACTGAAAGATTTTTTTGAAAATAATTGCTAATATCCTCAGTTCTACACCCTAACTCTCGTTAACCCATTTTCATATCCATGTTATATGATCTAAGAGAAAATCTATAATTTATAATATAATACATAATATACATAATATAACGTATAAATGTAACATATATATAAAATAATAAAACGTATAAATGTATAATAATATAATATATAATATTATAATATGCATAAAAAAAAACAATAATACGTATATATATATATATATATATATATATATAAAATTAGATATGTTACACATATTTTTTTATGTAATTATGCATTATATTTTATTATTTTAATTCTATTAATTTATCTATTTTATTTATAATTTTATTAACAAATTGATTAATAAATTTGTTGAACTATACTGTTCAAAAATATAAAAAAATTGTTAAATAAAAAGACAAGCATTTTAAAAATATATTGTTCTGAAATGCCATTACTGATGCAATAACATTGTTTAGTATAATTTTTACTTAAATTATTTTTTGTTCCAATTTTAGATGGTCCTCTGCAAAGAAATATAATGACAATTTGTTTAAGATAAATAAACAGAAAAAATCTGAAGAATATGAACAGAAAAGAAAGAAGTTTAAGAAAAATTCAAATTTTATAGAAATGAGCATAAATATTGTGACACTATTACGAAAGTACATGTCTGCTATCAGATATAAAAATCGTGATTACTTTAACTCAATCGATAATAAAATATCTTTTAAAGATATAATTTATGATCGTAAGATAAATTGTGTTTTTATATTTACCATAGTTAATGAACCTGACAATTTCATGAAATATTTGGTTTTCATTGATGAGATTAAAAACTCGCTTACACAATCTCCACGGTAAAATCCTCAATATAAGTTAGAATGTTATTAACTTCTATATAGATTAATGTTCTTATTGTTAATACATACATTTTTCAGGAGAACTGGTTGCGATTTAACCGAAAGATATTGTTATGAAAAAATATTAGACAAAATAAAGATACATTCTCTAAGGAAAGAATGGAATGAGTTTCGACAACTACCTGAGAGGGAGCAAGTTTTGGAATGGGGTGCTACTTTTGCGGCCCAATCTATTCAACTCAGAAAGAATGTATCTTATCCGGACATACAAGCATCGCTAAATAATATCGCATTAGAGGTACAGAATTACCTCAAAGAAAAACATCCCGAGCATTCGATATTCAAGACGTCTGCTGAAACTTTGTCTTATTGGAAAAACAATCGTTTTAACGAAAATTACTGGAACGAAACAGAAGGAACACAGATTATTGATACATTGAATGAATATATATTTGACAAATTAAATTTTCGATTTTGCAACCCAGAAGACACAAATTTAGAATACATGTGCATAGATAATGTAAGTTATACATTATAATATCTTTATATATAAGCACCGTCTGTCTGTCTGTCTGTACGCGAATTACTTCCGCATTTGTGGACCGATTTTCGTGAAACTGGTACCAAAATGTTGTAAATTTTTCGGGGGTGGCTGCTGTGGGTTTTTTTTTTTAATTTTTTAATTTTTTTTTTCCTCAGAGGAGGGTATGTTTTTGCGAAAAATATTTTTTTTTCAAATTGGTACCAAAATGTTGCAAATTTTTCGGGAGTGGCTGCTGTGTGGTTTTTTCAAGTTTCTATCACCCACGCACATCCACCCACGCACTTACACATTTATTGGCAGATTTTCACGAAATTGGTACTAAAATTTCGTAAATTTTTTGGGGATGACTACTAGGTGTTTTTTTTTATTTTACCTCCCCACACTCATGCACCTACTCACGCATTCACGTCTTAATTGATCGATTCTCTTGAAATCGGTACCAAAATTTATTAAAATTTTGCAAATTTTTCGAGGATGACTACTCGGTAATTTTTTAAATTTTACAGCCCCACCTACGCACCCACCCATGCATTCATGTTTTAATTGATTGATTCTCTCGAAATCGGTACTAAAATTTCTTTTAATTTTTCGGGGATGGCTAATATTTGATTTTTTTAGTTTTGTCCATTCACGCGCGCGCGCATTTATGAACCGATTTGAATGAAATCGGTACTAAATTTTTGAAAATTTTTATGAGAAATCTGCTATTAGTTTTTTTTAAGTTTTACACCCACGCATCCACCCACGCGCGCGTGCATTTATGGACTGATTTGTACGAAATTGATATCAGATAACATAATAGTCATCCACAAAAAAGTATTTATTTTGGTATAAATTTCGTACAAGTCGAATAACAAATGTGGAAGTAGTTCGCGGTATTACAGAAAAATGAATTAATTTTTTGTGTTAAAACGGATTTAATATAGGTCATATGAGAACCGCGCGAAGCGCGGTCCGAAAAGCTAGTTATATTATAATTATGTACCTAACAAATAAAATTGTACTGTGAGCATTGTCATATGCTTGTCATATCTAGAAAATATGTACTATAGCTTTCATTAATTTATTGTAATTTTTGCTACAGGTATTGAAAACTAAATATGGCCAAAAAATAATTTTATTAACAATATATTACAGCGTGGCCAGAAGACTTGGTCTACGTTGCGATGTAATAGTAGAAACAATGGACACCTATAAGGGATTTTCTCGAGAATATCAATACTTTTTTTATTGTTATAAAAATAATACATATAATTTACGACCTAATTTACCTACTAATTTACTTACTTTTCCTATGTATTGCTTACTTTGGAAACCAAAATAGTAAGTACAAAATTAAATTTGGAATTATTCAAATCTTAAAAAGTAATTTTACTTTCATATTACACAGACCCGTACATGTAAATAATTATTTTTTTATTCAAAGTCTTACGGATAGATCAGAAAATAAAAGATATTTAGACATAATTTCTAAAAAATTCCCGTATTGTCTTGTCTACAAACGATTCGGAAGCTATGAGTTGTTGATTCATCCATCAGAAATTACATATCATAATTATGACATAATATTTTCTTACACGGTTGGTAATTACTTATATATTATTTCTATTGATTTTAACATTAATAAATATAATTATAATTTTGGCATAATTAAACATATGAATTAATAAAACTCATTTTATAGGCAGAAAAAATTGTATAATATGTCTTTTTTATTACAATCAAAACTGTTTTTAATTTTCTCTATTTGCTCATATATTTATTCCAATTTTTAGATACGAGAAGAAATAATGAAGGGAGCTATGGATTTGATATACAACTTTAACAACAGTTTCCAGATTAATAAGCGTAAATCTGATCCCTATTTGAAATATATAATTGTATGTGAGCACACTATACATGCAACATATTATCAGATATAATAATGATAAAAATACCTCTATGAGTTTGCTTTTTGATGTACAACTATACAGCTATATATGAATTATAATTATCTATAATTTAATTAATTTTAATATAATTTGCTATAAGAGTCTATTTAAAACTTAAAAGACAAGAAAGATAAATTGAAGTTTAATCAAACATTTTTCAGCCCCAAATGTCCACTGAAAAAAGAGTGTTTATTACAAGATCAGACGATGTAAAATTTGCAATAGGAATGATCGTAACACATCATAATATGTGTGAAGATAATTGTACTGGAGTTATTATTGGATGGGAACAACATACAAACACATATGTTAAATTCGACGAAGTAACGAATTGTGATGAAATATATGCAGAACTAGATATCTTGCCACTGAATCACTGTTACAATCAACAGTTTAGAGATTCCGAACAAACCAATTACATTATTCTTACCAATAATAATAAAATCTGTTATGTCAATGAAGGTATGATAATCATCAGTGCATTTTTATATTTAAAATTATAATTCTTTATTCTACGATAATCATTCTTTTTTTTGTACGCAATGTAAAATAATAGTTTATTTTATTTTGTTTCTTTTTTATAATTTAGTTATTTTGTTTATTTCAATTGTGATATATTTAATTTATTATTTAGTTTATTATACTTATCATATATTTGTTTTTTAATAGTATATTTTTTTATTTTAGATTCTATAACTTTAACAACGCCGAAATGGATCGATAATAGCGAAATAGGTCGTTATTTTTGCAAATTCGAACACACGCATTACATACCAAATGAAGAGCTGGCAAGAATCTATCCGCAGGACGCTGCTATAGCAGCCCAGAGAACAATATCTGTAAATTAATAATATAAATTACATATTATACAATATTTAGAACAAAACTCGCTTTTAAGAAATATTATATTTTAAACTGATATAAATTATATATTGTGAATACTGTCACTGAGTCTATGAAATCACAGTAATATGTAATATCTCGTAATATTCGATTGTATCTTCTTGCAGGATTCCTAGCGACCATTTAACAGTGGACTGCCTCTTCTCATCGCGCGTTTGTAATTCATTTTTTATTAATTATTGCGTAGATTGCAAAACAATGAAAAAATAGAAATAATAATATAACAAGCTAATAAGAGCCACACGATAGTTAACGAATAAGAAATAATAAAAAGAATCTAATTAATATTTAGATGTAAATATTAATAAAAATAATAGCACTTTCATACTTGATTTAATGGTTCCGCACACGATGATTCTTGTTTCTGCACATGAGAGATTCGACGATTATCATTAGATAAATAGTAAAAATTTTAAATGTCACATAAAGAACATCATATAAAATGGTATACACAATGCAACATAATAATCTCATCTAGAAATTTAAATGCAACACATTGGTCGCGCGTTTATGCTTACTATGAGATTTTTCATACTTTAAGTTAAGATACAAATATCTTTGTTGATCTGAATATTAATAGAGATACTTATTTTAATCTGTGTATCGTAATATTTCACAATCGCCACTGCATGGATTATTACAGTTACTTTTTTAGCTAATATTTTCCTATTAATAAATATTTTGCGAGCATTTGGGCAAAATCGTAGAATCTTTTCGATGTATATTTTACTTAAAAATCTTGTCGCCGTTATCAAAATATATTTTGTCTAGCTGAAAACGCTGGACTCGGCTCAGTTAATATTATAATCTCGTTCATCATCATTAACTTAAAAGAAATGTAAATAGAACTAATACTAATGTAAGGCTCCATATTACAAACATTCGCGTTTGGCTCTCATAGCCTGGTTACTTTCGAAGTTATAAATAGAACTAGAATAATAACAAAAGAAGAATAAAATTTATACTTGAAAACAAATGCACTTGAAAATTTTTAATGTGTTTGTTATTATACCGAATCTAAATTTTTTACCAATCAATTATGATAATTGTTTTATTGAATTTAATACAGCTTCGATCTGAATCAATAAGTACCCAAATTCTAATGAAGCTAAATGAAGCGTTACGCGCACAATTGAGAAATGTAAATGACGGAAATGATAAGTAAAATGGTAAACAGATTTTAGCAATTTATACGCAAACTTTTGTTGATTATTGTAATTTAAAAGATTGCATACGACAATTTCTTTTGGCTTTTAATGAAGATAACTTTTTACACATTTAATATAAAATTTATATAAAATATTATATATAACATATAACAATAAGATATTTTTTCTTTAAAATTATAAAATTATATTAATAAATTTATATTTATATTAATCAATTAATTTAAAGACATTTATTATCTATATATTAGTAGTAAAAAAATATATTAGTAGTAAAAAAAAAGGTGAAATATTAAAAGACATAAACTAATGACTATGATTATTTAGTTTGCATCTAAACTTGATAAAAGTTTAATATCAAATCTATAAAGCAAAATATAATTTATTTAATCAATATTTGAAAAGTATGGGAAAAAAGTAAATGCATTCCAAAATTCCAAAAGTATATTAACTAACTTAAAAACATTTTATGCGTTAGTGTAAACTATATCATTTGGCGCCGAAATCAATAAACGATTTTTGATAAAAAAAGAGAATGTCTATTGAAACTTACTAGTATGGTTGCAGAATGTTTGATTCACGTAATCCAATCAGCATATCATTATAAGAAGAAATTTTATTTAAATAATCAGAGACAAAAATAAATATGATATCAGAAACATTAAATTTTCCATACTGATGTTTCAAGGTGGAAAATTTAACGTATTTGATGGAAAAGCTATCACATTTATTTTTTTCTTCATAATTAAAATTATTTTTATAAATTATATAATTCCTATTGTTAGAGCAAATGTATCATAAAATCTTGTTGCTCATTTTTGTACGATCTTGAATATATGAGGTATTTTTGCATATTTGCATAATCGTGCATATTAAAATAGCTATTAACAAAACACGTATTATGTACAGATAAAACGCTTAGGTCTTTATTGTAGGGATATACAATCTGTTCTTTCGATATATTGTGTCCAAGTTACCTTCGGTATAGTAATGTTATCGCACGCACATTTTCGTAATAAAATGGCAAAAAAAAAAGAAAAAAGAAGAAACTCTCTAAAGTGGATTTGTATATCCAGACATAATTTGATAAATTCAGTATCTTCCCGAGACTCGGCGCATCGCGTATATCACATTATTTTATGGTTAACAAATAAGTTATTTTCATTTATTTTCACTGGTTTATTATAAAAATATTTACGGTTTGCATTATATGTATATGGAACAGCCACTGTTCTTCTTTCGGCAAACGATAAACAGAGGTAGCGGTAAACGTTTGCAATTGACATATTATAATTCGTAGAATACGCATATACGAGTTATAAATAAGTGTCACGTAAAGTATTTTTTTAAATTTATTCTTTCTATCTCTTTCTCTCTCTCTCCCTTCTCTCTTTTTCTCTATATCTACCTTCTCACTGTAACTACATAATATTAATAAGTACGTGATGAAATGCATCTAGAAAACGTGTAATTCAATTGTTGTTGCTCAAACATTTGTATTTATGTATGTACATCATGTAATATATGTAATACAATTAGGATGATACACACATGCGTTTTGGCGAGTAATCGTCATAAGAAAAGTATATTATGCTTGTTACTTGTGCTATAAAAATAAATAATTACGTTAATTTGCTAAATGATCACTCTACTCTCTCCTCTCGGAATTCTAAATTATATTTATATTTATATATATATATATATGCATATGTATATAAGTCTATATACTTACACATATATATATATATATTATATATATTTATTTATTAAAGCGATACAGATATGCGTGCGACGCGCACTAAGAGAATATAGTGCCAGGTCTCGGGAGGATATACAAACACACAAAATCGGATATTCCAGAAGAATAAAATATCTTTATCCATCTATCTCCTCTTCACTATCTCTCTCTCTCTCCTCTTAAGTTTAAAACAATTCGTTTATCTCAACTTGCGCTCGCTATTCGCGCCTTTTGAAGCAACACAAGCGCGGAAGCTATCAGATCACGATTATAGAAATCGAATCCGCGCGAATGGATGATTCTGCTCCAAATCGCCTTCTCGACAAGCTTCATTACGACAGACCATATACACGGAAAATTGATTGCATCCACGAGCGCTCGTTTGATGTGCCTACATCATTGTGCATTGACTTAACACTTACTATATATGTATATATATATATAGATATAGATATATATACATATATATATTTATATATACGAGTATATACATGTATGCAAAATGCAGAGATATGTTGCTAGTTCACTGTCGCAGACTGTTGATTTTGACAAAGAATATAGAGGGAGCCGAAAGTAAGCGGGATATTTTTTAGTAATCTAAATTTTTTTTCAAAATAATACACGAATACACGTTCTCAGTTGTCGCCTAGAATTCAAAGATTGCCTGTAATTAGCAAGTAATTAGCACGATTATATATACTATTTTTTAAGTAACTCGATTAAACGTGTTTTGCTTGCCATTTAGTCTGTTTAAAACAGTCATAAATAAATCTGAGTATTTATAAAATTATACATATGCGTCTCGAAAGATAATTAAATTTCATTATCAAACGAAACAACAATTCATTAATTTTTCAAAAATCATTAGTTTCTAACATATGCAGAATTTTTCATTTATATATTTCACTATAAAGTTTTTTTATATAAAGTATTTTATGACCAGAATAATTAAAATTTATTTTCATGTTTCGAAAAAAATACAATTTTTGAAATACAGATATATATGAATAGCTCGAGTATGCTTTATTATGTAGAAAACGCTAAACAAAAGATAATAAAAGCTGCAAGAATTTTTTATTATAAAATGTGGACTAGTTCTTTCCTCTCTAACATCTCTCTGGATAATTATAATGATTTTGCGAGCTTTTAAAAATGTATCTTCTATCATGTGACACTGAAATATTTTGCACTTAATGAGTCGTTTCAGTAGAAATTAATCGCTCGTTTTTGATTGTGAACTGACGTTATCTGAATCAGATTTAAATAATATAAGGGTTTCAACCTCATAATTAATTGTAATTATCTGAAATACTTTAATCTATTCTCCGGTTAATTCTTCGTGTCGGTTTTATTTTAATAAACTCTTTTATCTGTTGATTAAAAATATATAACGTAAAGAATTTTTCCAATTCTTTTTCGCTTCTTGCCTCATCAAAGTATCGAAATGGATGTATGTAAAATGAAAAAATTTGCCGAGTGCAAAGAGTGAAAGAACGAAACCCCTGATTTCCGGTCTCGATCATATTGGCATGATAACACACACACAATAGTATATTGTGTATCAAGTGCGGAAAGTTGACAATTGGTCACGAGTGCGACCACCCCACACGAGTGAACAATTGTCAATCCGCACTTGATACACATACTATTTTGTATTGCAAGTGCAGGCAAAGTGGCTGTTTCGGCGCATTTTCTGTACGCGAGGCGGCCGATCGCACGCCGCCATCTTGCCGTGGCACGGTGGGGGAATAGCCGGTTTCAATACATTTCCTACGGCTTAAGCCGTATACAATGACTTTTAACGCGGCTCAGCCGTAGATAATGGCTTTGAAACCGGCTTATTCACTCACCGCGTCGCCGCTAGATGGCGGCGGGGGAAATCGGCCGCTTTCGGCACAGAAAACATGCACCGAAAGTGCCACATTGCCTGCACGTGTAATACAAAAAAAAGGAAATGTGTCGTGCAACAGCGAACTACTATCGGAAGGTAGAATGGCTCCTTTATTTGTAGTATCTAGTACGAATCACACGGTACATTTCTCCCACCTCGAGATCGATTTCGACATCATCGGTGTTTCAAGTGCACAAAAAAGAACTGCATTTCTTTCTCTCTTTTTTTGTCTTTTTGTTTCTTTTTAAGCTGCTTACAATTGAGGTAATCCATGATATAAGGCCCACGTCACACTTTCCACATCGGACTATCGAGCATACACTATTTCGCTACATAGCAGTACTTCTCTCGGTTCCTTCCCTGCTTGTCGCTTTCTCTCATT